AAAAAATCAAACTTTAACCACTGAAAATTTCAAAGCAATTGGTCCAGTTTTCGAAGAGAAAAGCGATTCTATAATAATGATAGTGACGAAGAATAACAATAAGAAGATCTCTATCCAATTAAAGAGTCCAGCTACACACTAACACAACATGTTCGACATGTTCTGAAATATGGTGGTCGCGGTCTGTGTTTTGTGTTAGTGTGCAGCTGGACTCTTTAATTGGATAGAATTGTCATGTTTATTCCAGCTACAGTATCCCTGCAGTATACGCATACGGATCCACTAACATAAAGGCATAAAGAAAAGATAGGAAGTTAGTCTCGCGCAACCCAACTCAAATTTAATAAGAAGAGTGCCAGCATAAAATGCAAACGATCGCGGCGGTGTGGCTCAAGGCGCGGCGGTGTGGCTCAACGGGCTAAGCGTTAGGACACCTCTAACTACTCTGCGTAGGTTCGCAGGTTCGAATCCCACGCAGGGATGGGTATGTGCGAGAGGATTGCTGGACTCCTCGCCGTCGTTGGGTGGTTCACGTAACTGCTGGTCGGTTACGGCTTCCTCCACCACCAAGTCCATGCTTCCGAAAACAAACAATACAGTAAATCTAATCCCATACCCGACTTGGAATGGTAACCGGACGAGAGGCCGTGGTTCGCCCTATGGATAAGCCGTCTTATCGGCTTTCCTCTCCCCCGGGATAAATATGTAAATCCTATCCTCCTAATCCTATCCTATCGTTATATGGTTATGTCCACTAAAGCAGTGGTCGGCAACCTTTTTTAAGTGACGGACCGGTAAAGCCTGACGAAAATTTTAGCGGACCACCTTTTATACAAACGAACTAAGCTTATGCAATAAATTATACGCGTTAGGAAACTTATGTTGACAATATACTAAAAAACGAAAGCCATGCTATTTAATGCGAGATCTGTTCCAATATTGGAGATATGGTCGACACCGACACATGTAACGTGTTTCATACAGCCTACTTCGATATTTCGTTTTTTGTAGTTATCAATATATATTGAAAACCAGGCCTCACATTAATAAGATGGTGGGATAAGTAACAATGCCTGTAAACCTTCTGTCTCTAGTCTGGGTATTGATTGATGTTTGATTGAACATTTGATTTTATTATTGTTTGTTTTGCCATAACTAATTTTTTACCCGATGTGCATGTGTTAACTTATGATTATCCTGATTCCTAAAGTATAGAATTAGCACTGACTAGTCATGACCGGTTAGCTATGAGCAAGTAGTGGAGTAGTCACTAGTCACGTTCCTAGCGAGAATCATTTTGTTCGAGAGATCTTATTCCAACTGATGTGAGACTTTCTTATACGGGCGTTGAGGAAACAATTGACCCAGCGTCAATGCGACATAATGACATGGGAATTGTTTGTGAAGTCAGACATGCTGCTGAAATGCGTTATGTTTGTCTGGTTTAGTGCTTTTTTGATCGTGGAGTATGTGGTTAGACTGTATAGGCTTCATTAGGGCCTTGTCCGTTTCTGTGTCACTTCTCTGCGGACCGGTAGTAACCTTTCCGCGGACCGGCGATGGGCCGCGGCCCGGGGGTTGCCGACCACTGCACTAAAGTGTTCAATAAAGAATCTTTTAATGGGTCAAGGGTCGGGGAAACATCCATAATTATTCCGCGGCACATTTAGTGTGGTACGGTGCCAGTACTGGCTACTGTTCTTTTTTAGGAATAAGAACTAATTGGGATAAACTAATCCCATTTTTTTCAAATGTCTCCATTGTACTAAGATTGGATGTACTCGGAATAGTGTTTTCAAACTCTGAACCATGCAATGAGAACTGGGAAAACTGACTACTGAATAATGTGAGAACTGTAATAAGTGAACTGAAAGACATTCCGTTATCGCTCGATGGAAAATGTCTTTTGGTCAAATTTAAAATTTTGCCCTTAGTCTTATATTGTGCAAAAGTATATTCTATCCCATTGTATATAGCAAAAATAATTAATGATATTATTGAGAAGTTTGTATTTGTTTTGTTCACGCTTTGTTTGTTTACCAAGTAAAACAGAAGCTCATCTAAATGCTATTATTGCTGTACCGGTATTGTATTAAAATTGTTTTCAACACTTTCGCTCATCAAAATTTATTTATAATTCTACAAGTAATCTTTGCCTGTGAATTTTACTTTCTCGTGTTTATGTACATGCCTTTTATTAATTTTCAGTATAATTGCTGTGATGTGTTTTCTACTCGTGTGAGTGTGGGTAAATGGGCACAAATGCTTGCAGCGTTCGCTATAAACCTTTCTCGAGGTTTTGCCCATTTTCCCGATCTTATCGTCGCCCTTGTCTGTTTTTTATTTTGTGTTTTGTCTGTCTGTGTTGTCAAGTTGTAGACGAAAGATCGAAATAAAATTGTATTGTATTGATGCTGTAATGGTAGAAATACCTTCAGACCTTTGGAATTGATACATACTGACATAGGTGGTTCATGTACAGATGTACCGTAACTGCTGGTTGGTTACGGCTTCCTCCACCATCAACAGTGCAGCACACTATCCAAATTCCAAGAATTTTCCTCCATTTGGTTCAATAAAACAAACACTCAATGTGTCTCACAAACGAGGGGCATCTAGCACCGCGTCATATCGCGCCATGCTTGTCTCAATAATACTCTAAATTAATCGCGGCCGTCACATGACCAAGATTGTGATAAAATTTTTTTTCCTTCGGTAAATCGGATTATTTTTTCCAGAGAAATTCAATGATGACGTTATTAGATTGCGCTTCTTCGTAGTATTTTGCACAACTTCATTATACTGTATTTTTACCGATATTGAGGGACAACAATGACCAGACGTCTCCCAAAGGAGGGGTGTCTGATCATTGGTGAAATGGGTTTCTCTGAAACGAGACAATGTCACCCAATCTGTATAGTGTGCCATACTGAATAGATTCTATGCAGCCATAATTCTGTAATTACTTTTCTTCGACAATATAACATCACTGGAACTGATTTAGAACAAGGAAAACATCGTACAATATATAATAAAATAGTAAACGAGAATATCGGTCGGAGACCGAAGATGTATCGATTGATACTGCGGTTTCGATTTATGACTCTATAGTGACACCGCGTGTCCCATCACTAATTTATCAATAACTCGCTAATTATACGACATAATTCATCCAAAATCAATAGGCTTCTTGTCCGAGATATGGTGAATGCACATCCAGACATCCAGAATTTGGAGCAGATTCAACCTCGCCTTCGTGAGATATCGTGTTCATCTAACAGACAAACAAACAGACAGACAGAAAAATACCTATCAACATACTAACCGATCTTAAGATCGATAAGTAATAATTTGAAGAGTGGTGATAGAATGGTGTTTCTTAGAGATGGTAGTTTGGTAGGAGCTTGTTCAAACATACATTCAGACATTGTTTAAATATTGGCTAATAATATAAAAACTTTTAATTATAATATAAACTAATGTGGGACATTCTTTCAATAAAAGTTAAACCAAGGATTAGACATATTAGTGGAAATGATTTATTTGTACTTACTTCTCAAGAACCAGAGTTTATATCTCATTTATTTTGGAACTGTGTTCTTACACAAAATGTGTATGATTATGTTTTTTCTGTTGTGATGGAAATAAACAATTGTAAGTTAAAAAATATTTATAGAACGTGTATTTTTCTAGAACTAAATAATCAGTGTTTTTCACATTTATTATTAATTGAACGTGATGCAGTCATACTTCTTCTGTGTACTGCAAGATATAAGATATGGTTGGAACATAATGCATTTACTTTTGAAAATGTTGATCCAAGTGTTAAAAATGTCATAACAACCTAACAAGAATTAGAAAATCTCTTTCAGCAAGGAGAAATATAGAACAATTTAGACAAAAACCTAGTTTTATAAAAGAACTTGACGTAATATGCAGAAACCTATGACTAATTCAGTATTTGTATAAATTTTATTTTTCTGCTATCAATAATTAAAAAACCTGTAAAATAATATATATTTACCGATAAACATGGTGAACTTCATCTGTAATCAACAATGGAACACTATTAATTACTGGACAATACTGGATGATGTTTATGAATATATGTGTTTATTATATGTAACCAGGCGCGCAGACAGGCTTACAAAAGTGTTTCGATTTTAGTGATGGTATGTTCCTAAACGGCGACCTAACATAATGTGTTCCGTAGGTCGCGGTGGGTTTGGTCATAGGGGCCATGGTTTGGAAATCCTGCCAGGGTTTTGCGGCAGTTCTAGACGCCACAAAATACTTGAAACTGCAATTGGTAGTTTCGGTACATAAACCACATTATTGCCTAACGAGCCTATGATAAAGTGGGCGACGGGGCTTCATAATCAGTTTTCATCAATCATTTTATTGTTATAAGATTTGCATATTTAACCCGGGGGAAAGGAAAGCGATAAAACGGCTTAACCATATTATAGCGAACCACGGCCTCTCATTTGGTTACCATTCCATGCCTGGTATCAGGGTATGGGATTACCTGCCAACCCACGCAGAGTGATTGATCAGAGACTGCAAATGCTTAGCACGATGTCGATGAGCCATACCACCGCGCTATTATTACACGTAGGCTACAATAGGGCACAATTCTCCAATTCCAAGATGTCCCAACATTTGGGTAAAAAACAACGCACTTTTTGTCTTTGACACGCGGATATCTGGCATGACCTGACGACGTCAGATCGCACCATGCTTGTCTTGATAATAATCTAAAATAATTGAGGATGTTACATGACCATTCCATATTTTTGCTAAAGTCTCTCGAATGCTGTGGTAAAAAATTTCCATTTTGTGTATCTGATTATTTTTACAAAGGCCCAGACTGTCTCGTAGATGAGGAGTTTGCATTCACTATTGTAATTGATGTTTCTCAATGTGGGGGCTATTCTTGGAATCCAAGAAATGTGTCGAAGGCCACTGAAGTATATTTTTGCTAAGTTTTGCTTGGAGCAGTTATATTTGTTGTGTTTACTTACAGAAATTTGTAAATTACATAATTGAGTGATTCAATTCTGACTGTTACATTTTTAATTGCCATTTACTGCTGTACAATAGACAGATAAAGGAATGCCACTTCTCCACCGAAAGCTGTTTGTTCCAAAAACACCGCCTGAAGTTCCCGGTAATGACCATGAAGTTTTCTACTGTCCTCTTACCAAAGAAGCTTTCACTGATTATGAGTAAGATTTCTCTCATGCAGTCATGTTAATTTTCTGGTTTGGTATAGTTTAGTTACATGCACTTCTAGTTGGCCTGGCTTTTTGCATATGTCATTCATAATTCTAACCCCCACCTGACTACATCACCAAAAAACTACGTCATTACGACGTCACAGGGCCGTAATAAAATCCTATGAAGTATACGGATGGTCGTCCAAAACGCGCAGGCGATCATAATTTTCTTTGTTTTCTCGTCACAACTATCACAATATAAAAGACATCGCCGGCGTTAGTTAGTTTATTATCGATGGCGCAGATGCCATTTGGGCGATCATAACTATCCTTTGCAAGCTGTATGATGGATTGTGATGTCGTTGTGACATAATTTTGGGATGGCATAGTCCGATGGTGGTTAGGAAGAATAACTTACGCAAGGTTCATTATGCTTCGCCCATTGGAAGTACTTGTGGTACTAAACTATTCTAGACCAACTAAAAAGGCCGATACACTGATATTCCAATACTATATATTTATTAGCTCAAGTGTGCAGGGCAAAAGAGTTAATAAAACAAATAGTCTTTGAGCATTATTCATAGTGAATATTTCAGGTTGAAAAAGCGATTCAGCTAGTTTGGCCGATAAATTGCTAAAAAAAGGTCAGAATCCTATTCTCGTTTCTACTCGTGGGGGAGGGGGTGTGCATGACCCTTAGTTCACGATCTACCCAAGAAAAAAAAAATAGTTTTAACATCAGTATTATAGCTTATTTTATTTTTTAAAACATTCTAGATCATAATAAAAAGCTAAATGTATCGGAAATATCGGTCTACATTTAGCCGATACCAATACACTACCGATATCGAAAACTTGGTCGATACCGATACATCTCTATAACACATGTGTCTAAATCAGATTTAAAGGTGGTGTCTTTATGAAATTTAGCAAGTAATTGTTAATTAATTAATTAACAATTAAAATTAATTAGTCTTTTTTATCGTAGCAAAACTTTTTTCTAGGGAGTTCTTTGATCGAACCATTCTGTGCAACAGTTTGGTATGGAGTTGTTCAATCACGGAGCGAGGGAACATGACTTACCAGGAAGCACTTGATTGTGAAGAAGAGGCAAGAAAAAAGTTCGATAAGTTTCCTGAAGGTCTTCAGGTTTGTTCATTGGAAATTTTATTTTTTCGGTTCAGGTCAAATATTTTTTTTGAGAATGGAACTGATTTCAATCATCTAATAAAAATTTCTTTGTGATAAATTGAAGAATTCAATATACCATATATTTGATGAAAAAATGAAAGACAGTGGTGAGATGCTGTGCTGGTAAAAGCCCTGTGTTGGAATCAATGTGGTACTGGTTTTAAGTTGAAGCAAATGTAGATGATAATGTTTTAATTTAACTTGTACGATATCATGGAGAAAATCATAATTTTATTTTCGTTTTGCACAGTAATATTTTACTGGGTGACAAACCTATGTGAAAGCAAAGGGTTGCCTAAAAACGGAACCTATAAATTCCCTAATTACCTCCACAAAACTGGAGTAAATTATTTAACCTCGTCTACACTTGAACTTCAGTTTATATAGGATTATACCCAGAGGTTTCTGATATCTAAGCACATTTTTAGTGCGATCAGTTATGCGCATATAAGCCAACCCCTTAGTTTAACTTTCTTTTTTAGTTTTATTAAACTTGGCTTACATGCAAGAGTATACGGTAGTTATTAAATATTATTGATATATGACATTGCATGCGTCATTTTTCAGAAACCAATGTTGCTTCTTGTAAACCTTATTGCTCGATCTAGAATAGAAATTCTGAATGATACGATCTTTTCCTTTATCAAGAAGCGGTACTTTGTTGGAGAAACACTGGATGTCAAAGTCAAAACAAACAAGTGGGTGTTTTTTGTTTCTGTTGTTATACTTGTATTTTGCAGCTGCAAATATATAAATGTATAATTAACAAATACAATTCTAGAATAGCGATTTGATTGTTGTTTACTTGCCATGTTGGAATGTTCAAAATTGAAATCTAACGTCCATGATTATTTTTACAAAATTCTCCAGATTTGAAATGTGTCGTATTCTGGATGTTATTCCAATCAAGAAATCTAGTGACTCTGCAGAAGCAGGGATGAGTAATGGTCATACAAATGGCGAATTGTCAACTGATGAAGATGATGATGATAAACCACTTGCGAAGTATGACTATTTTTTCAAAAGTTTTACATAATTATGTCTTCGATCCTCTTGCAGTTTTTCTTCACATTCTAAACTAAACTGAAACTCACCGGAAGACATAATGACAATTAAAATACTTCATTTACAACTAATTTTCGGAAACACAACTAAAAACTGACTAATATAATGCAGGGCAGTCCAAATCGAATTTAAAATTCGAACATCGCGAACTTCAAATACTTTTTTTTCGCGTTTATAGGAATCCCGAATATGGCGCACATATCCTAGCGTCGTCGTCCATGTGTGGTTCGGCAATATATTGCAGCCGACATGAAAGAATTCCGATAAGCGCCGCACGGACTTGAGGAACTTATAAAACATCGAGGACGTTTTTGATTGAAAATATTTTCTTATCGTATATTTTAACTTAGTCAAGATGGTTTATGCATCCTCGACAAATTGTGTCCTTATCAAGTGTTTCCATCCTCAGTTTCGATAGTGACCGAACATAACAGGAGATTTTTTCAATCTAGTAATTTAGAGCGAATAAAATAGCTCCTAAATAGTATTTAATAGCTTCTCTATCGCGGATTTTATTGGCATCCACGTTGATGACAACATCGTTCAGTTTAAGTTGGCGGTATTCATTTACAAACAAAAATACATAACAGCCAACATGAACTATTCAAATCAGCGCAGAGTCCAAAAATAAAACTTGTTTTACGGTCTTAAGATACACATAGAAAGAAGAAAGGACAGAACGGCTAAAAACTAACAACAGTATGTTTGTGTACTTTTGTTCACCATCGTCATCATAATCAAATAAGTGAACCCGATCCCCAAATTTTGGTCCGCCAATAATGGAGAATTAAGACGGAAAAACGTGTTTTATTTTTCGAGCCAGCGCTGATTTAAATTTCTCGTGTTATGTGTTATAATTTTAATTTTGAATATAAATCAATACCTCCAACTTAAAATAAACGATATTATTACCAACGACGTCGGGATAACGATAAAATCTCCGATATAAAGTAAATAATATTTATCTATTTTATACACTCTAGATTGCAAGAAATTAAAAAAAATTTCGTTATGTTCGGTAACTATCGAAACTGAGTATGAAAACAATTAATTGCGACACAATTTGCTTTAAAATTTATTGCCGAGGCCGCACAACCTATCTAGACTAAATTGAAATATACGATAATAAATGTAAAAAATTTTCAACCAAAAACGTCCTCGACGTCTTATGTGATGCTATTGTCGCTTTCAATTCGCATCGACAGCGCGCTATTTCTATTTTTTTAAAGTAACATATCTCATTTTCGAATACAAACAGGGATAGCATCATTATTATTAGATAACGAATTAATTCTTTTATTTTGTTGACGCACCGCATATCACACTATTATGCCCCCAGATTACCGTTGTATTTTATAGTATAGTCTTTCATTTTGTTGCAAGTTGACGCAACCACGAGTTAGTTACCTTGCACACAATTAAAATGTATAATATATATTAAATACCGTATTTCCCGGCGAATAAGTCACTTTTCTAGGCTAAAATTTTTGGCATGTCTTATTAGGCGAGTATGATAATTTTTTTGGTGTCGCCTCATTATTCAATTCGTACCATATAATACCAAATACCTTCGGCGATAGCATCCCCACGTTTTCATCATTGCCGTGTTGTTTTAGATCGGTAATGTTCTTATATGGTGCACGCAATCGCGAGTTAGGTTGAACACAATTAGATTGAAATTGAAAGTCAGTTTGAATTCTCGTAGTTGTTATGGATTGAATATTACTCTACAGGAAAAAGTCATTATAGGCTATTTTGACCAATGCGCAAAGGCGGCGACCGCTCAAAAGCCTCTGCATGGTAATTTGAGATTCCGATATTGATGCGATTTTACTACTCGTCTTATTGGCAGGGTATATGCGAAAAGCCATTTTTTCAGGCCCAAAATCGGGCCTCGCCTTATTCACTGGGTAGACTTATTCGCCGGCAAATACGGTATATACCGTATTTACTCGAAATTACGCATATATCGCAAATAGGCCGACTCCCGGAAAAAGGCCTTAAAACGGCGATTTTATAAAAAATCGCACATAAGCCGGTCCTACGAATCGTGACACGCCGGACACCTCAAGAAAAACCTAGAAAGAGAACAAAATTACTGTAACGCAAACATTTCATTTCTGCGTGTTAGCGAGGGCCGTAGGTGGATTATTACCCCTAATTTACCATATGTTAAATAAAGTCTATATTGCTTTTCAGTGCGTCGTGATTGTGTCTGGAGTTTAAAATAGAGTTCCTGAATCAGCATAAAACAATTTACTTTGATCGCCACAACGGCAATTAATTTCGTTCCTTGTCCGTTTCAAGGAAAGAAATAACGCTATATTAACACATTCTTATAAATCCCTACGAATCTTAACACGCCAGACGCCTTATGAAAGGCGCAGAAAGAAAACAAAATTGCTGTAACACAAATATTTCTCAAGTTCATCATTTCTGTTTGTTAGCGACGGCCGTATATTCTTATGCGTAAGCGTAACTCTTACTTGTAATTGGCTATCTAAGATGTCAACAATCTCACCATGGTCAAAACAAATTTAATGCAATTTGTGGTACTTTTTGAATGCATAAAATTCAGTACTTGCTCTGAATTTGTCAGCATCATGATCAATATGTTATTAAAAGCGTCACAGGATGACCTGGGAAACTATGTCTGTGCATTATATAAAAGATATATGTACTTTATGTTTCAGATTTATAAAAGCGAGACCACTGGAACCGTTTGAATTGAAATATCAAGTCAAACTTTCTTCTGCGAGTATGCATCCAATCAGAGTAGTTCCATGGACTGCATTAAGGTACAAAGATGGCTAAGAACGAAACTAAATATTATTTGATAGAGTAGAGAATCTAGACTGGTACATTTAGTATTGTGTGAGTAAGGCTAAGGCAGTGCTTCTCAACCTTTTTTATAGCGGCCCACTATAGAGTTATACTTTATTGAGAGGTTAAAAAATATAAGTTATTAAGGCAGGGTTGTCCAAAACGAGTTGAATATCAAAGTGTTTAATTAATTTTTTGGGTAAATTTTTGAATAATTCCAAAGGATAGTCAACTTTCGCCATCAGCTAGGTGTTTCGTTTTTGAGGGAAATCTTCAACCGATTTTCTGCGCTTTTTCACGTATTGTAATGACTAGGGCTGTCTAAAATCGAATAATTTTTTAATTCGAATCGAATATTTTTGCCAAATCAAACCGAATAATCGAATAGTATTGCGCAATCCTAAATCTGTCTCTATTATACAATAAATGCCTGCCCTTCGATGTTGTGGTAAAGTATGTGCAGTTACATCTTACTTACTGCTGGTATTTTGCAATAAAATGTTTTCAGAGGTCACACGCTTGTATGAACTGGTCAAAAAAATTGGAGGACTCCAAAATTTGAGTCTCAAACTGTTGAGTGTTATTAAGAGTAAAAATTGCACAATTCAAAACTTGCAATCTGATGACAATATTATTTGATGACTATAATATTGTTAGTGTACAACAGCCATCAAAATTCAAGAGTGCAATTATTGGTCTTGGTTTATAGATGGATAATACAGTATTGCCATCATAAGAAATCACAAATTCTAACACCTTACAATTTAATTTTGTTTAACGTATCTCATGGTTTCACCGACGTACGAAAAAATAAAAGCAGCGTACATAAAATTTTTGATAAACTGCCTGACTAAAGTTAATTTTTGATTTGTATTTCCATACTTGCGAAAAAAATAAAAGAGTTACCGTATTTTCCCGAAATTATGCCTATATCGCGAGTAGGCAGACTCCCTAAAAACGGCCTTAAAAAAACGATTTATAAAAAATCGCACATAAGCCGGTCCTACGAATCGTTACACGCTGGACGCCTCAAGAAAAACGTAGAAAGAGAACAAAATTACTGTAACACAACATTTCTCACGTTTATTTTTTCTGCATGTTAGCGAGGGCCGTAGGTGGATTATTACCCGTAACTCTTACTTGTTAATTTATGATAATAAAGTCTATATTGCTTCTCAATGCATCGTGATTGTGTCGGGGGTTTAAAATAAAGTTCCTGAATCAGCATAAAACAATTTCCTTTGATCTCCACAACGGCGATTAATTTCGTTCCTTGTCCGTTTCAAGAAAAAAAATAACGCTGTATTAACACATTCTTATAAATCGCTATGAATCTTAACACGCCAGACGCCTTAAGAAAGGTGCAGAAAGAAAACAAAATTGCTGTAACACAAATATTTCTCACGTTTATCATTTCTGTTTGTTAGCGACGGCTGTAGATTCTTACCCGTAACTCTTACATGTAAATTCATGTAAATAAAGTCTATATTGCTTTTCATGCGTCGTGATTTGTATTAATGGAAGGGATTGTTGTCGGGAGTTTAAGAGAGTCCCTGAGTCAGCCTAAAACAATTTCCTTCGATCGTCCACAACGCGGGTTAATTCCGATAAGAGTCCTTATCACCGCCCCTCAACGGATAACATATCGTAAAGGTGATTAAAAGTTACGGCGATAGCGCATCAAATAATAAGATTTTCACCACGAAACAACTGGCCGTAAATCGACACTGTTGCTTTTACGTAAAAGAAACACAAGCGAAAACAAACAATCACAGCCTGTACAATCGTCACGTGTTAAACAACCAATCACAGACTGTGCAAGTCATCAGCTGTATGATAAGACAATCCACTTTCACAAGCGATTGTGTGTGCGTGCACGCTTTTTATCGTGAGAATTTGGTATGGTTCGAAGCTTTTGGAATTACCGGCAAGTCAGCATAATATCATCTCGTTGCGTGGCAAATTCTGATGCGCGAATGAGCCGATTTTTTGGTGCAATCTGAGTTATGCGCGAATAAGACGGTCCCTTAGTTTGGCAACTTTTTTTTTAGTTTTTTACTCGGCCTATTCGCGAGCAAATACGGTACCTACTACTCTGAATACCTCTGCCATCTGTGAACATAAAATGTGTGGTGAACTGTGCGATTATAATCAATTTTTTATTCGTATTTCCGTACTTATGTGAAAATAAAAGCATTACTACTCTGAAATACCGCTTTAGTCTGCAGACATATAATGTGTTGTGAACTGTCCAATTATAATTAATTTAGGATTCGTACTTACGGAAAAATGAAAACATTACCACTCTAAAATTCCACGGCAATCTGTGGACATAAAATATGTGGTAAATTGCTCGCTTTTAATTAATTTTAATTTTGTATTTTCGATCCTCATCAGAAAAGCATTGCTTTCCTATTATTAAAGGGTCTAGACTCTAGATAATTCCAATTCTAACACAAAATGTTGAAATATACGAATAATTTGGCAACGAGTTAGTCACCCACCATAAAATGCTTGGAGGCCCACCAGTGGGCCGCGGACCAACGGTTGAGAAGCGCTGGGCTAGGGAGACCATATTTTCAGAAGCAAAATGCAGACAATTTTTGATGTATTCACCACCACCAAATTCAATCAGCACTATCATAGACACAATTTCTGTAGTATCTTTTCAAGTCCTATTGACTTTGGTGAAATCAGACTTGATACGTTAACAATTTAATTTTGTATTGTGTTGTGACCTGATCTGCGAAAATGGACACTTCTGTTTTAAATTGTAAAACTATTAGTTCAGAACTGTTATTAAGCACAAGATATTTATATAAATATACTTGTATCTGTGTTTTAGGAGAAAGATCAGACGAGAACAGTGCAAAATCTTTTTGAAAATGATGTGTTTTCAAAATATGGAGAATGGTAGAGTGTATATGGTGAAGGTAACTAAAACTTGTTCTTTATGAAGTGTGATATGAGTACTATCAATTTCGCTCCAGGTCGCAGCAATCCCACCTTTGCTAAGGAGAGGTGATATGCCACAGCTTGCAACATTTGGTGCTTTTCTGCAGTTCTCATTCGCCTGCACCTCATTTCATGTATGCATGTCGTTTTTTGAGCAGAAGCTGAGTGGATTGACTGGCTAAAAATTCAAACTTGGATATGAATTTTAAAGCCAGCAAAATATACCCTAGGTAAAATGATTGTCTAAACCAGTGTTTCCCAACCTTTCTACCCTGGCGGACCGGTAAATTTATATTAAACGTATTCGCGGACCGGCAAGAAATTGAAATGACCGGAACAGAAAAAAATAACGTATATTTGCATATAATGCAATGTCGGGCACTCAATATGCTATTAGACCATAAAGGCACACTTGAAAACATTTCACACCGAGAAAAACTATCAAATAATGTGCCGGCCAAAAATTGAAATGGGTGATACATAAACTAATACCATATATTTGCATAATGAAATGCAGTGCTGGTAACACGTTATGCATGAGAAAGGCACGCATAAAATATCTCGCATAAAAAACATGTACATGTCTAATCATGTACAAACACAATTAACTCTAGGGATAATTTTGCTGCTGTTTCGTTCCCAATATAGGATTGCAAACGAAGCCTCAAAGAAATTTTTGCAACACGTAGCTCTGCAGCTGCGTGTAGCCCATTACTTTGCTTTGTTTTAATTGAATCTAGTGATGAAAATGTTTTTTCGCATAACGCAGTAACTGGTTGAAAATACGAACAACAGTTTGATTGCTCGATTACTTAGCGATGGGTATTCGTTATTGAGAGATATCTAAAATTGTGTCAAGTAATTCTTTTTTAAATCTGGACTGTAAAGTACATCATATGAATTCATCTGCAGTTGATCGACGCCTCGAAATGAATTTGGATTACAATGACAAAGTCGTCGGTAACTTGGCACCAGGCTCAAAATCCTACTGTGTCTCCTCAAAATACTGGAAAAGATCCATGCGGCCCATGCTTTTTGCGCGTCTCGTGACCACCTGCAGGGTCGCAACGTTCATATCTTACTGGAATATAAAACTGTTCTTGACTGTTTTCTGGTTTAAACAAGGAAATATGTATAACGTTTCATATGGATGGTAATATTAATCAGGAAAAGCATGCGTGCCGATTTTTAGTTTTCAGCGCATTCGCGATAAATCAGAGCCGAAAAAGCGAAAAGTGTGATTGTTCGGCACCAAGATGTCGCGAAAGACAGCGCAATATGACGGCGGAAGAGAAATTTCATAATAAACCAACGCAACACAATTTTCGGTAAAGCGATTGAGATGGCATAATAACAACGAAATTTTCTGCGGACCGGCAAATAAGCTTCGAGGACCGGCAGTTGGGAACCACTAGTCTAAACCGGTAGTTCCTAAACTTTTTGATGTCATCGCCCCCCTACAGTAATTTATATGTTTTGATAGCAATAGTGTCACGTCTGAAAACCCCTTTTCCACCATATAATAGGTCAGGAATGAAAGAATTCAGGGTTCTACTTCCTCAAAAATCGCCTGGTACTTGCCTGATGACCTGCACCAAAATACATCATAACGATCATCGGTGAAATTCATCTTCTATTCCTCATTATGTACCACGGCCTCCAGTTCGGTTACCAGTCTATAGAATTAATCAGCCATTTACTTGTTTCAGATTCATGGACTTGATAGTGGGGGAAGCGGTAACTGATCAGCGGTTATGCAAGGGGTCGGCAACTTTTTGTCGCTCGCGGTCGCGAGCCAAAATTAAGGATTGCATGTCTTAGGGAACTGTACATATTTTTTGAAAGTTAAAAACGGAACAGCGCGCGAGAATTCGTGAACCACACTTACGGTAGTCTTATTGAAGGAAAAAAAGACAAATGACATTTAATGTGATACTGTCTTGTTGCTGCAAACTGCTTAATAGCTTACCAACATCGGCAACACACTGAATGAAGAAGCCAAGATTAGAATATTTTCTAAATGGGCATCACTAATACTAGTTTTCTGCTTGTTCTTTGTAATGTTCATTTTTGAAAAAAATTGTTTGCACACATAATTTATGTGCTTCTAAACATCGAAGTAAAATTTTTCGCATAGTTTGTCAAATTTTTATAGAGATTTTCTTTAAGAAGATACATTTTTATAAAAATCAAGCAGTTATGCATCTTTTGAATAGAGTATGAATTTTATTTCCTCACTGCATTGCATCTCAAGGAGCTCCATTTGAATATTTTTGCGCTATATGAACCCCTGCACTCAGCATCAACTTATCTGTGTGTTGCCATTTGTCTACTTATAATTAAATTGTAAGCTCGTTAAACGAGTAGTGTTCACCAAATTGTTAGCTTATAATATAATCTAGTCTTAACTAGAGATGTATCGAGTATCGGCAATATCGACCATTTTTTCGGTATCGGCCATGTAATGGTATCGGTTAGATTAGGGTCGATATTTCCGATATATTTACCTTTTTGATATGGTCCAGAATATTTTAAAAGATAAGTTGGAATACTACTTTTTTATTTATGTCTGGAGGTGAGCTAGGAGCCACACATGTCCCCACCCTCGCGAGAGGATAGGATTCACATGTTTTTAGCTATTTATCAGCCAAACTAGCTCAACTAATCTGGCTATCTTCGCTGTCAAATTTTTATATTGACATTTTTAATATTACATAGTAATTATGAAGAAATATATATTTCAACACTGCACATAACAAAAAGCAACCCAGTTTTAAATCATACAGTGGAATTGGGGTCCTTATTAACGGCACATGGACTTTCGGCATGTGTATAAAATCTGACTGTTTGTCGTCAAGTACGAGTGTCATTTAATCCGTCGACATCGATAAACTAAATTCCGACACAATTTTCCCTCTACGCAGGTATTAATTTTAATTTTGTTTAACTACACAATTACTTTATAGATATATTGACATGACCGCCTGGCCCTAGACCAGTGGTTCTCAAACTTTTTTAGTCCCAGAGCCGCATTTCAAACCTCGAAGAATTATGAATAGTCGCACACAAACAACGCAAAGTAAAATAGCAACAAACCCTAAGCGCGTAATTAAAATACAAAGTCATCGTATCAACAACACACGTAACAACTAGGCCTAGGCAAAATATTCGAATGATATTATATTATTCGAATATCCGGTACCACGTGACCTGCGCCGCTCTGCTTGGACACCGAACTCTCGCGTCTCTAACTCAATCGTGAATTGTGCAAGATTTCCCAACGGGGCTCTCTATCAGACAAAAAAGTACAAATTTGAAACGTCGTTGTCTTTGCGTTATGGTGTTATATGCTAATCTTTGCACTTAACGAATCATTTCAATTTCATATTTTGCAAAAAAACGGACCGACCGTTCCGTAAATTTAGAAACGTCAAACCAGAATAGGTATTTACAATAAATTTTCCAGATTTTAAACTCCGATTGCTTGGTAACATGTCATTAGCCATTTCTTGCATTACCGAACATAAAGTTGATTAGAATTAAATGTTAAACAGACTTTTCGGCGTTTCATTGTGAAAAAGGCGATTTTAGGTCGTTAGAAAACTCTAGTTATATAAATAGCATGGATTTAAAAATGATCAAAAGTTTTTCCAAAAGCTGGTATGAGTTACTTGTATGAAAAACGCTCATTAAGTTGTAACCAGATATGAAATGTCATGTCCTACTCCATTCAAAGCACTTTGTATTAGCTCTTTAGTGATCCCTTCCATCCTTGGCCAAGTAATGTTTCGAATATGTAAACATTTTACTCGACCATGAATGGCCGTTGAGCCAAAAGTGGAACGTAAAGAATTTTGTTGTAACAATGCACACTGACTCGTTCACAAATTGTTGTGTCTATTATCATCGAAAATGATTACAATTGTCGTTCACAAATTGTTGCGTCTATTATCATCGAAAATGATTACAATTGTTAAATTTTGAAGCATTTGGGCAGTAATAATTAAGCCTTGAGGGATGACATATTCAAAATCATTAAGTGAAGTGCTGAATTTGCAAATTCCGTAAAGAAAATTGAGCATTACTCAGTTAGTATTTTAGCTATAATTACCATCGGGGTGTTGTTTTGTTGTAAATAACGTTAAAACTTGAAGGAATTAGTCATAATAAGCGTCTGACCCTAGAAATGCCTTTATTGCCAATTTATTTAATCGCTATTTTAAATCAACATTCAGGATCCACGCAATCGTAAATTTGCTAGGTTTATCTATCTAATACTAAAATAACACGAACACTATAGAAAAAGCATGAGAAACTCAATTATCATTTTAATGAATATCTGCATCTCGGTTACCGTTCACTTTAAATAGGCACGGTTAATTTACAAGCGGTGATAAGAAAGATCAAATCTAAGGCAGAGGATAAAACTCAGAATAAAATTAATTTAGTTTTGAAGTCAGCCCTTAATGTATTTAACAGCTGTCGCTGATGTGAATGCAAGGGTATACTAGAAATATAAAACTTTGATATCCGGCGACCTCTCATTCTTGCAAAAAAAAGAGAAAGGACGGGAATATAGAATACCAACCTTAGGATATCGCCGCTGAAACGATCGTGTTGACAAAGACAATGAGTGATTATGATGAAATTAACCATTAACCAGTAAAAAAACGCTTTATTGCCGACTTTTCAGTGTTTCTATTAATTTCCAAATGGAGTATCGACCTCCGACGTTCTGGATCCCTGTTGTGTTTAAAAATATATATTTTTTCCGACTTTTCGGTATTCGTTAAAAATATTCAAATTATTCGATTCGAAAAAAGATTCGATTTTTCCCACCCTAGACTAACAGCCATTTAATTTGGCTTTGATTTCTAATAAGTTTGTCAAAGCAGGTTGAAATTGTGGAGGATGCAAGGTGCAGTAGCTGCTTAAGATGATCGCCAGATATTTCGGCAATATTTTCGATTCCTGGAACAAAATTAAAAAGCTCTGTAAATTAAAATAATCATTGAGTTATTTGATTTATATATAATATTGGCAAATGCGACAAAAACTGAAAATCCACGAAAGCGAGCCAATGATTTCAGCCATGTCTAAAATCTTTCCAAGCGAAAAGTGTCCGAGTGGCCGCGAAAACGCTTACTGTTGCGTCACTATTGCATCTTGTAGATTAGTCAATGCTACACAAATAAACACGGGGGAATCCATTCAACTAACTAGTAGACTTCCGCATTTTAATTTCAAGTCAAGGATTAGTGGATTCAAGGATTCAATAAAAGTTTTTTTTTAAAAGTAATTAATTTTTAAAGCATCCACAAGAGCTGCAGGAAAGGTTGTTGAGAGCCGCATGCGAGATTGAAACTAGAGTATGACAAGAGTTATTGTGTATTCGAGTGGATAGAAATTTAACACTATCTTAAATTTGGTTAGCTTAGAGCAGGGCTACTCAACTATTTTTACCGAAGATCCGCATACAAAACTTCAAAAATATTTGGGTCCGGTCTTTCCAGAAATTATATTTCCGCATCCTTAAACACGCATATTCTCGGCCGATTAATGATTATTAGCTAATCAAGATTGTTTATTATGGCCTTATAGTTCTTCTCATATATATTGGATTCTGTAAAAGTGTTTTTTTAAACGGAAATTTCAAAAGTGGGGCTAATGATCTAAAATAAAGAATTTGGCTAGGTCCGAATCGAATACCCAAAAGGTCAGGATTCGGACCTCGGTCCGCCAGTTGAGTAGGCCTGGCTTAGAGTACAGCTGGCATCAATAATTTGCTGTTTTCTACCCAAGATTTGGCAAAAAAACTTTAACATTGTTGCTGTGTCCTGGGACGATTTTGCAAGCTTAGCAATTTTTTATTTCTGATGACTAATACTGTTTGAATTTTTGCATTTTCTAGGGAGACATTGCTGAAAAATTTGGAATCAAAGAACTAAACTGGGAAGATGTATTTGCCGGTCCACCACCAGTATTTGGCGGACAATCTCCAAAAGTGAAAAAGGTAGGATGTGACCTACAAAGTTGTCCTTTTGTTTGGTAAATGAGCCATCATGTGTTCTTTCTTTATATGGGCCAATTTAATATATTCAAAATAATAATAGTGCAAATTGTTTCCCAATATGGAGGTAACAAATTTGTTCGCCTATTTCACATCAAGTTGTGTAAAGGGACTGAAGCCAATGGGCAGAGGGGATATCCACTTGGCTAACACAGACAGTCCCCGAACTCGTAATAGAACTAAAATAAGGAAAACTAGGTACACATACTACGGGAGTACCAAAAAAAGAGTATCAACTGTGACCAGGAGATTTTAGCTCTATGTATGATGTGATGTGAGTGTGCTTACAGAGAGTGTTTTAAATAGGACCAGGAATATTATTAATTCAAAGCGTTTTCACTAGTTCCCGAAAATGTCGATATGCTAATATATTCCTGTGACAAAATTCGGGCGCACTGTCTAAAAATTGCTTAGATTGGGTTTTGATCCATACATGAGGCGCATCGGACTATAAGACTAACCGTTTTTAAGAAGCATCGGAACCGTACAAAGCTCAACAAACATCAACAGCGTCTTTTTATGCCTCAGATCATCACACTTTCGCTGTCAAAAATATACATCTTAAATATTTTTCTGTCCGTTAGCGCCTCAATGCAATTAACACACTCAGATTTTTGTTGATTGTCTTCACAATATCTTATCTCTTTTATTTTGCACTGATATCGAAGCTTTCAAACAGACGCAAAACAAAAAGCGATAACTACGTTAGTGTTTGTGTGATCAAAACGATAAATAACTGAGCTTTCTTTCTCTTCAAACTCGTTATGCAATCACTTTCATTAATAATACAAATCACGACGCATCGAAAAAAAAATTCGACTTCATTACCGTAGTTCAAGTATTTTTTACATTTTTTGTGAATACCAGTTACCGATACAGTTAGTGAAATTCTATTGATTCAAACGCCTCGAGAGATAAATTTGCAATAAACTAATCATTTTTGAAGAAATAGTATAATTTAAAGGTGATTTATTCCTAAGATATCAGTTAATGGTTAAAATAATTTGTAACCGCTATTAACCATCTAAAATCGGTCAACAGATTTACCGGTTAACCATTCCCAGCCCTACTTCTGGAAGAAATAGACAAATATAAATCAGGATCACATTGCAAATTTTTTACACTATGAAATATATCATATACAGAAAAATTTTGGGGAAACGGGTTGAATACATGGATAGTTATGTCAAAATTACTGAGAGCTTCAGTTGCTCATCTTAATAATCAGACTGCATTGTTTCCCCCATTTAATTTCCATGTTGATTTTTAATAATGGAATTAGGTAATGCTTAAATAATAAACCTATTTTATTAATATTATGTTTTGAAATAGCTAAATGAAGTTAAAATATTGAAAGAACAACTAATTTTTCTTTATATATTAATTTTTACTAAGCTCATGTTCCAACAATTGTTCCTTCATAGCTTTAGAGCAGACTCAATTATGCTTCTATTTTACCATGATTACATCAATCCAACTCGAAAGTGTGGATTTTATCAGCTAGAACGTTGATATCCCTTCCTCCCCAAAACTGACATAGCTTTTTACTGGACTTCCCTGGTCCTATTTTGAAAATCCAGTATTCAGTTATAAAATAGATGGTTTGGTACTACCGGAGTATATGAACCAAGATGGCGGACACGGAACGTTGTATGTGTACCAGATTAGGGTTACGTGCTCGTCATAATTTTATTCCAATTTTCCTTATTTTAGTTCTATTACGAGCTCAGGGACTAGCCAAGTGACTCCCGTAGTATTTGTACCTGAAATTATGGCCTAACCTGGTACACGTACTACGTTCCAGTGTCCGCCATCTTGGTCCACATACTTCGGGAGTACCGATGGTCCCATATGTTAAAATAATATTTCCTAATGGCTATGGTAACATATATTGGCCTTTTTCCTTGCATGTTTTTTACCCTTTTTTCAAGCGAGATTCTTTAGGTTTTACTAGGGCAAGGAAGAGAGTAGTAGTATTTGTACCTGAAAATATGGCCCAACCTGGTACACAAACTACGTTCCAGTGTCCGCCATCTTGGTCCACATACTTCGGGAGTACCGATGGTCCCATATGTTAAAATAACATTTCCTAATGGCTATGGTACCATATATTGACCTTTTTCCTTACATGTTTTTTACTCTTTTTTTCAAGCGAGATTCTTTAGGTTTTACTAGGGCAAGGAAGAGAATAAATGTTATAAAGATTTTTGCATATTTTTCAGTTCTTTTGGGGTAATTCTGTAGTTTATACTTGTGAGAGACGGCTCAAAGTAAATTTATATGAATATTATCATATACAACATAAGTTTCAAGTTGAAATATGTCTATGCAATTTTAATTCTTGCATTTTTCAAATATTTAGTGAGAAATTTAAGATGAAGAAAATAATAATTGTATGCTTGTTAGAAATTGGTTGCAGATAGCAACTGATATTGTATTTTTCTTTCCATAACCAATGTTTTCTTAGCGGCATGCTAAGTTACATCCTTTAGATCAGGGGTGGGCAATTCTTTGTGCTCGCATGCAACATCATGGCCACGAAATTTATCTGATGCTTGCAATTTTAAATGGGCTCTTGTTACTTGTATACATTTTTACAAATCTTAAGTCATATCATATTGCTTGTAGAGACTTCAATCAATACTTGCAAACCAATGGCAGTCACAGAACATCAAATATACACCTTGCAAAATACTGCGTTAGCACAAATATAAAAAAAAAACATTTTTCTGGCAAATTTCATTGTATGAGGGGTTTTTCTGCAGAAATAACCCTGTTGAAAAATGTCTTCTCGCAAAATTTTTCTTTCATTTTCTCCTATGAATGGTCAAGGGTGTAACAATCTATCACCAGTAACAGCAGTCTGGAAATAAATTTAAATTTACAGAATTGTAGTAATTTGGTTTACATCAAATTTTATTCGTTTTCTAGGTATTTGTTTTTGCAGGTCATAAAAAAACAATCTCTGGCTGTATTTTGCCCACCCCTGCTTTAGATGCTGCTAGTGAGTTTTTGTTGTACCATAATATGGTTTGACTTTATAATATACCTGGTAATGGTATTCAAATCTGTGTCCAACACTGTATAATTTTATTCTATGTGTGAAGAATATCTTGAAATATTGCTTTACACAAAAATGGGTTGATTTGTAGCCCATGTAATACCATGATATATAAATGTTTTCAATCTCTTTTTTCCATGCTGACCATATTGTCTCAGCATAAATATTTTGCCATAATTATCATCATTCATCAGATTTTTTCTTTGAGTCATGCAGAGTGTGACAATTACGGTACCTCACTAACCTATAGAACCCGAAGCTGAAGTCTCGTGGATGATGGGAGTTGTATTCATCAGCATTGATAATTTTTAAATTTTTATTATGTATAAATAAGGAACTGGTAAGGAAATGTATAACAAAATTATATATTGAATATTATCTTACCAATTATATTGAAAAAACTTGTTATATTTAAGTAATCTCTTTTTTTCTTTATGTTTGCACATGCAATTTATCAAACAAAAAAAAAACACTTGGAAATTTATAACGAATACATAATGCAATATGCAACATACTATTGTACTAAATTATAAAACTGAAAAAGTATTTGAATATAAAATTAAATTCAAACAAAAAGATAAACGCTTAGTTTACATGTTAGTGAAACAGTTCACCTTGATTTGGTAACTTCTGTCAAAGTTATTGTTTTTATTATGTCCCGAAGTCCAAACTTCCTAGTTAGATCTTGGGATACATTCTGAGATATTTTTCAGATATTAGATTTATAGATTACACTATAACGATTTCTTTTCTTCTCTCTTTGACATCTTCGCCAGACTTGCACGCAGTTTTCTAACACTGAATGGTCCGATGTAATTCTGTTCTTCACTTTCTTTGATTTCTATGAGCTGTATTGTCTGGTGATCACTTGCAGCCTGGAAAGAACATTGTGTAATTTGAAAATGGTAAAGGTTTTCTTTTTTTATTGTAATCCAAGTAATTTATTTCTATGTGAATTATCAATCTACAATTACTTTATGTTCAAAGTACCTATGCCAATGAGTTATTCATGTTCAAATTTATATATATATTTTTCAAAGTGGTTAGTACTCACTCCTCTTTCTCTCGGTATGCCATCTTCAGTGATCAATTGTCCTGCTTGACCTGGTGCAGTCAGTTGAGGCCTGGGAAGCTGACTCAGAGTGTTGCCATGTAAACAAACGGCTTCCAGCTCTTCATTTTCATCAAATGACTTACTCGGAATATAATCAATGTTGTTTTTGCTCATGGTAAGATATCTTAGCTTGGCACACGATTTGAAGAGATCTTCAGGAAATTCTGTGATAACATTGTCAGACAATTTAACTTCTTCAAGCATGAGGCTATCAATGAAAAAGTCTGGTGCAATGTAGTTGAGCTTGTTTCCATTTGCACTGAAGAATTTGAGCCTGGGATTGCCATACAGAAGACCAGACTCCAATCTTGTCAAAGCATTGTGATCAAGCCTTAGGATTTCAAGTTCTGAGTTTTGAGAAAACACATTTTTCGGTAGTTTTGTCAGTCTGTTATGAGATAGATCTATCTCAACTAGCCTCTCATTTTTGAATAAAGCCTCTGCAGGGATTTCTTTTATTCTGTTGTGGTCGAGAATAAGACGTCGCAAGTTGGGTCGTTCTTCAATCAACTCAGTTGGAAATTCTTCTAATTTGTTATAGCTCAATTCTATGGTAGTTACTCGTAGCTGCTTGTCAGAGTTTGTGGTCTTTGTCATATTGGTGATGCGGTTTCCTAAAATGTATACAAATATATGAAATATATATTGTATCAAATATGAGACTATAGCAATTTCTAGATTTTTCTCTCACCTCCAAGTTTCACAGTCTCAAGATCTGGTTTATTTTCGAACGTTTCTAAAGAAATTTCACCAGATATTTGATTATCAGCAAGGTCAACCTCTCTAAGCTTTTCATTGTTTTTAAATGTCTGTTCATCAATCTGTAAATGGATTAATCGTTGTTATAGCAGGGATATTTTTGTTTCTATGCAGTTCACTCTAGATTATAGTTTTCTTACCTTTTTTATTTTATTTTTTGATAATTTAGCGACAGTTATCAGTCTTGTGTTTGAAAAAAGAGATTTGGACAAATCTTTGATTTGGTTCCCAGAAACATCAAACTCTGTTAGTTCTGGATTGTTATTTAAAAGGTTTTCCGGAATTTCCTCTATTTCGTTGTTGGAAAATTTTACAGTCTAAATACAAGGAAAAGTAATGTTATTGTCCAACCCAATCAATCAGGAAACCAGTAAATGCCAGTTTTATTGGTTTTTGATGACATATATTAACTTCTCACCTGAAGAATTGAACTTGCTTCAAATAGTGTTGATGGTATAGATTTGAGTTTGTTTCGACTAAAATCTACCGAAGTCAGTTGCAAGTTAGATTTGAAAGTCTTTGGATTCAACGTTCCATTCAATTCGTTTTCTTGAACAGTAATTGTTCTGTGAAATATGAATGAAATAATGTATACTCTGAAATCATTATTTTACGCCAGCCCTTTTCAAAGTTGGATTTTATTTGCTAGAATTATTTTCTCACCTCAATTCTGTCATCTGTTCTATGACTGGGGACAACATCTCTGCATCTCTTAGAATATTGTCATCAAGATTCAAATTTCTTACTTTTTCACATACATCTTCTAGTAATTCCAAGTTACTCAATCCTCTGTTATGATAAAAACAATTCTTAATTATAATCAAGATTTCTATAATGATCATCTTAAATTAATGACTACTGCATGTCTCAGATTTTTAATAATTAATACAAAATATGAAAACCTGGAACTGCAGTCCATTGTTCTTGTCTCTGGATTCCATTCACACGGTGCTGCTGTGCATCTGTTGTCTCCATATTCGAAAAGGCCATATGACATTTTGTTGATATTCATCGCTCCATTTTTTGAGAATCTTTGTTTGAGTTCCCAGGGAAGTCTCTCATTTCCAAGCAGCAAGTTTACATATCTATAAGAATTGGTATTGAATTTTATAACATTGTATTGATGGACTAAATGTCAAACAACTTTCATCTAGTTAAAATTTTTCAATAAAAACGATTTATGAAATTATGTTTTTAAAAAGTTATTCTGTGACACCAACCCAATGTTCTCTGTTTTCTTGAAAGTTTCTTTAGGAATGCATTCAATTTCATTTGACCATAATCTCACATCTTCAAGTAGCGGTGTATTATCAAACAATTGATCTGGAACCTTTTTGATGTAGTTGATTGCAACATGAAACTAGAATGCAAAGATGAAAGATTTATCAAATATTTTATGGCATAAGTCAATTCACAACGCAAATAATAATATTTAGTTTAAATAGTATATAAATTTTTCAGGATTAAGTTCAGACAAAAACCTAGCAATTGACGAAAACTATACTATGGTATTGACTCTGCAAATGGAAGCCCAAACCCATAGTATCTCCTTGAACATGCATACTTACTGTATTCAATGCAAAGTTGTCTTGAAACATAGTACTGTATAGACATGTTAGTTGATTTTTCCACAAAAGAACTTTCCTAAGTTTGGTTAATCCTCTGAAAAACCTTTCAGGTATGTCTTGTAGCTTGTTCCAACTCAGATTGATGACCTCCAAATTTTTGTTATTTCTGTGTAAAGAATGGTCGATAAATGTCAATGTAGAAAATCCTTTGGATTGTCCAAAGGAAACTATTACAAGTTTGGTACGATTCAATAAATTTGAGTTTTTTTTTAACAAAATTAATAAGTTTCCTCTGATTCAAGTTATTGTTAATTTTTTTTTGTTACTTTATCTACACTGATTTTCCGGATTTTTTTTTTACCTGAATAAGTCTTCTGGCACATATGTTAAATCATTGGCCCATAACAATGCAGATACAAGTTTTGTATTTGAGCTGAACAGTTTGAATGGTAGTGAACTTATTTTGTTGTTGCTGAGATCAACTTTTCTCAATTCAGGATTATTCTGTAATTTTTTAATTACGAACATAAATATCATTGCCATATACTATCACAAGTTATGATGTCATCTTTGCGATCCAATTAAAAGCGGATGTAAATTTTTTACAATGAGTTTGTTTATCGCTACTCGGAACTCGTCCACTAATCTTGTTGAGTATTGTTTGTTGTTGCTTCCGTCTTGACATTGAATTCGATTTTAATCTTTGACGCATAATCATTACATACCACAGAATTTCGGTTTTGAATGATTATGTTTCATTTGATACATTGCTATTTTTATCATTTTGTTTTGTTTACAAAATATATCAATATTTGCCTATTGGAATGACCATGCAAATTAATTACCTAAGCGTGAAGTTCATCCGATGCATTATTCTCTCAACAATTAATCTAAATATTTTTATTCAGGAATAATTGTAATGAATAAGCTGATGCTATGTTTTTTCAGCACCTATGTTTTATCACTATTACAGAAACTCACTTCCAAAGTTCTTTCGGAAATTCTGTATAACATATTGTTTCTTATACGGAACTCTTCCAGTTTTGTATTTTTGGAAACAAGGTCTCTGATGTTATCTGCGACACTGTTGAATGATATATCCAAGACTTTTAAATTTTCAAGACCTTCAATTTTTCTCTGCAATATAGTTAGTTTTGTTAAACACTTTATTCTATTTTGTTTGTAACATGGGTTTTTATTGACATAATAATTATAATAACATTTCCCGACTTGATATTATTTTGGGCCTGTGTGTAAATCTTGTAAGCCAGATGACCAATTGACCTCAGCAGGATACGTCTTTTTTTTCTGTATATTTGATAGTTTTTATGTATGCCTACATAGCAACTTACCCTAATAGAGGGGGCATCTGTTATTTCGTTGTTTGGCAATTCAACTTTTTCAGTTTCCATAGGTATGTCAAGTTGCCTCATGTTCATTGACCTGTAAAGTCTTGCCAATTTGCATTCCAATTTTTTGAAATTTCTTGAATATCGGCATCGACTGCAAAAAGGATTTTGTATATTAAAATATATTGGAAAATGTGCGTGCTGAGCAGTTCCGGACGAATATCCGTGTATCAAAGCACACCTGGTCATGATTTTATTATCAATTAATCACGAGCCGTCAAAGAAAGGACATGGAAAGGTTATCACGTGTAACATACGTCACAACTCCACGCTTTTCCAAAAACTAAATATTGCTAAATTTAGTATTTTTCCCAGTTGAAACCCAGTTCAAACTTTATCGGCCTTTTTTACTGAATATTAACTCTACTAACTTGTTAAATATTAAAGAATGAAGGATGTATAGAATATGATATATACGGGTATATATAACGCCTATGGCATTTTAGTAGTATAGTGTATTCTAAATTTTTCTGCCAATTACTGCAAAACCATTTTTGTTAACCTAATTTTATGACAGAACAAGTAGAACAATACTCACTTTGGTAAAGCTTCCAGTTCAAATAAAAATTGCCCTATTAATAATAAAGTGAAGAATAATTCATTTTTCATCTTGTTGAATAAATTGCACAGCTCCCAGTGTCAAAATATTACTGAATAAATCCAATTCCTACTGTTGCTACCAATATACTGTTGTTGTTTTTATGTCAATTTCACAGTGGTTGTTCTAAGCATATAATAACTGTTGTAGATAATATTGAAGATCGTTAATGCCAGTTTCTGTTATACAACTAGCCGTCATCTGAATACTGAAGTTTTATATGTCTTGCACTGTTTTTTTTTATTTTTGTCAAACCGTCGGTATGATTCTCTCTCCTGTTATTGCCGTCACTGATAGTTTTTCACACGTCACTTTCATCGTTTTTCACGCGTCACTTTCATCTCCTCTGTGCCCTAGGGGTACAAATTTTACGACAGGGTCTTATATGGATCCCTTTATTGTTCATGCATTCCGATTCTCATTTCTGTATTTTGTGTTGTAAAACATTTGGACCTTGGAATATGTCACATTCAACAGAAGTTATGGAGTCCTAGTTTCCATTCCTAATAATTTATAAAAAAAACAATTTCTGTTTGTGTACCATCTCATTTCAATTTCAGTGATTTTGTTCAAATAAACAATTTGGCGATAATAGTTTTGGACCCTTCGGCTAATTATCATTCCTTTGGTACTGCCAGACATATTGGTTTACTAAACTATCAAATAAACTTACGCTAAAAATAATCTCCAGATGTTATCAAATATTAAATTGATCCTACTGTAATCATAATTAAAAAATAAATACTTGGAATATGTTGCTACTCATTTATATACTCAATAAGAACTGCTTGTCCTTGATAGAAGGAATAAGACAATCTCTAATTTGATAAAGTAATGTTCACAATTCAATTTTTCATACTTCCCAAATGATGATACCAGATATCTGCATTAGCATTTATACAATATATATGCATGCTTGTGTCACGTTTTAAAGATCGTCTGAATATGCCAAATGTCGGAAAAAATTGCATAGGTCAGTTTCAGGAAGTACATCATAAGTCATGATAGTATATCTGCCAATTAATTGTCAAAGATTCAATGATTTTTAATATATATATTTATTTTATCATTTTTAGGAATTGTTAACTTTTTAAAAATTCAAAATATATATTTAATATCCTGCATTCTTAAAATATGAATGTTGGGAAAATACAGTACTTTGAAATCAAGAAAATATTGATATGATTTTAATTTACTGCGTCTTATGATTATAGATTTATTTTTCTTGAGTTTGTTTCGTATTTGTAAAAAAATTTCCTTGTATGAAACTCTGCTCTGACTCATTTAATTATAAAATTGTATATTTTCAGTAATTTTTCTGAGTTGGCACGAATCAGGAACACCTAATTTAATGGATGTGTATATATATTTTTATACGTCGTGAGTTATTTCATGGCTTATCGTAGATCTTATCTAGATGCAATTTGACATTGACAGGCACGAATTTTGTTCAGTTGCCTAAGGGTCAAATCATAATCCATCTTGTGTTTTTATTTTCAAATGTTGGCATCATAGTTTGGAAGAAATAGTGCTGACGCAAACCTATCCCGTCATTACGTAAAAAATATGAACATTTTCCTACATCTTCGAGATGTTTCTGCTTTACGTGACCTATTTGAAATACCTACAAGAGATGATATTTTTATTTATTCACTATTTTATAAGGTCAAATAATCTGATGTTTTGAAAATATTTAGAGCTACTCGAAAAGCACCAGTCTTGTGGTTACTCTCCACAAAAATAACATGAACTAACTCCAGTTATTCTCATTGGCGGCACAAATTCCCTGTATTAATTGTATTCATCTCTAACAACATGATATGGAATGAATGTCTTGTCTGTTGCCAAAAGTCTTAGACTAAAATGGGGTTCTGTTCTATTTTTAGCTTTAAAAAGAAATCACAGATACATCCTTACATAGAGTGCTACATGCAAAACCAGCCTTGTGCTTCTGTGACTGTTTTTGTCAGTTTCCAAATATTCTAATCGATCTGGTTGGTTATAAATGTGTTCAGAAAACCTTTTCAACAACGAATGTGTATTTAGTGCATATAACAATAGGATATCTCCTTCCCTCTCGAAAAAATTATTGTCACAAGCGGTATCTACTATACTGAAATCTTTAAGTAGTTCTTTCCTTCCATCAACCATCTATTTAATTGGCTGATGACATCTTTATGACGGAAAAGAACTATTTGTAACTGGCCTACAGTTAGAGTTATATTCAGCAACTTCTGCAATGTTTTGTTTATATTTAGATGACAGAAAAAGTGGAAGAAAAAAAGACAGCAGGTGAGCTCCTTTTCTTCACATCATGTTTGTAAAAATGTTATATATTTTGCATATTTCAATGCTGCTTGTCATACCCATGTCAGTTTTAAAATGAATATTAGAATATATTGGGAATAATTTTTTTTGCATAGTTTGATAAATGAAATATCTGGAGGTCTGACATAATATAATCTATATAAAAAGTCTGCTATATTGAAATTGACCTAATTTTCCGAATGTCTTTGAAAAAAGCAATCTTGTAACATTTAATGCTAATCTGATACGAACTTAACGTAGCATTATTAGTTTTTCCTGGTGTTTTTTCCATATAAATTTGATTTTTCTTAGTATAATCTTTTCCAGATGTTCAATAAGATCAATATTCATGTTATGTTTCATACAATCAAAAGTGTCATTGTGTCAAGCAATGAAATGCCATATTTATACATAAATGCATAAATTAACCTTGAGGCATTAATATTTTGGTTATTTATTATTCTTCATCATCATACTATTTATTGTATAAAAACATTCTTATTCTGGTTTGTTATTTTTTTGTATGTAATTATTTGACCTTTCTTGCTAGAAACTAGCAAAGGGCGTCAACCGGTTTTGATTTGTTGGATCAAGATTTTAACCATGTTAACATTTCATGTATGAATATCTGGAAATTTCAAGAAAAAATACTTTTGAATTTATATAATAAATTTATATATAAATATGTTTGGTATATTAAGAATGAAATTTGTCTGCACTGAACTAAGTTTCTTAGAACATGCTCCCCATGCTTTTATACTAGTTTGTTTTAAGAAATTCAAACAAGTTTCATTTTCAAAAAGTATTGTTTCAGAGTTTTATAATTTGACTTCTTGCATATTTTAATAATTTATTTTCATAGTAAGTGACCTCACTCATGTTTTTGAATGGATTTTGTGCTTACAATAGTTTTTTATTTTTTTTCTATTATTAAGGCCCTGGAAGTGATGATTTGAAAGTTTATATTAAAATAAGTTCAGGCGTGCTACCAATTCTCTATATCATTTCCTAATTTTAGGCGACTTTGTTGCTAAACAAACAACAATTTATTGGTAATAACATCTTTTCTGTAATGTACTTAGGTGGCGATAAAAGGCAGTTTTCTAAAAAAATAAATTATGTAAAATCTTGTGACCCAAGGATATGCTTAAATACTAAATGGCATGTAGTGCTTTTATGGCCGCAAAATTGAATGACTAATATAAAACAAAGTGAAAAAGCTGGCTAGTTTGCCTTCAGTGAGGTTTTAAAATGGGGGTGTGGCTTTACTTGAAGCAAAACAAATTGAATGCTGCGAAGTTTGGAAAACACTGCATTAACACACCAAATCCCTGGAGATCAATTGTTCTTGGTGATAGTCGAACCTGCTTCGAGGTTGATAAACAGCCAACTGACATTTGCCTCTTTATGTTATGACATTCATATCATAGACAATGTGTCGACTAGAATTATAGACAAAATGTTGACGTATAAAATAATTTATGTCAAACAATTTAACACAGACTGATGAACTTTTGCATTCTGTGATACCTCCTGGAATGTCTGATTTCATATTAAAGCTTGTTTGTCTGTGGGCATATATTTTTATGACACAAGTTGTCTTTTGTAATACCTTCTGAAATGGTTGATGACTTATTAGAGCTTGTTTGTCTGTGGGTAAAGAATTTTTCTGACACAAGTTGCTTTCTGTAATATCTTCTGGTTGCTATGTAATATGGCTGGTTTCATATTGAGGCTTGTTTGTCTGTGGGCCTAGAATTCTTATGACACAAGTGTGAAACATTACTAATTACTAGGAGAACTTTTGATGTTTTTTTTTATATTGTATATACCTTATTAGTTTTGTGGATTATACAAAACATTCAAAATTGCAATATTCAATTATGAAGACAAACGATATTATAACATCATAACATGAAATTCCTATTGGTCTAATTTATTTCATTATGATTTTATGTACTTGAAAAACTGATGATGTATAATAAGTCGCATTTATTCAAGCAAATAGTAGAAAACATCTTCTTTATTGCAGATAAAAAGGCAACGGAGAAAACAAAACTCGAAATACTGAAAGCAAAACAAGAAAAACTGAAGGAAGAACTTCTACTGCAGGAAATGAAAAAGCAAGAGAAGGAAAATAGGTTAACATTTTTAAGTATTCTTATGTATTGTAACCAGGTTCAACATTCACTTGTTGATGTTTGTGATCTGATTTATTTTTGGCACTTGTTTCCGGTCACTTGTAATTTTATATTCTTTTCAATTTTAGTTCAGGGCCTTGGAACTGTTTTCAAAATCAAGCAATGTGCATGTTAAAACTTTTTCATTGAGCCATGATATAAATCATTCACCTCAATTCAATTAAATTTATCTAGTTAAAAGATCTGTCTTAATTCAGCACTATCTCTATGCCATAATTATCATAAAACTAGAAGTAAAATAAGAATAAATCTCATTTCTTCATTTTTTGGAATTGTTTATTTCTGATTCGTGGTTTGCTTCTTTGATTGAACATTGATTTCGCAGATAGATTGTTACTTTTAATTTTAAAGTAGGATTCGGATTTCTGTAAAAATTTAAATGTCCAATCGTGATACAAGTTGCATTGTATGAAAATTATCAAAACTTTTTTCTAAAGGAGTTTTATACGGTCTAAACCAATAGAATAGAGCACTGCCATTACTTTTCCTGATGGTAAATTGTGTATGTGAAGCTTATCGTAACCCTGTAAGTACTTCACATCGTCCCGAAAGCAATTTCTGGCAACTCTAATTTTGATGATGGTTTCTTAGTGGTGCTTCCATAAAAAAATCTTAGAGAATAAAAAGTTTTCTACAGGCTTTTATAATTTGATGTTTGTGTAATATTGGGATTTCAATATTTGAATAAAAATTTTTGCCCTGTGGCTATTTCAGATTTGTAATAAACATAAAATACATTATAGCATATGAAACTGAAATTATATTATAGGAAAATGTATACTGATGATTGCCAAGCAAATGATGAGAAATTTACTATGAAATTTATGACGTTATTTCCACATTAAACAAAAATTGAAATCACACAAAATCATATCATGCAAAATCATTGGTAGAGGATATTCTCAAATGAAATGTGACATTTTTGAATTTTTGTGTTATTTCATAATTACAGATTGGAAATGAAAAGGAAAGAAATGGAGGAGGCAAGAAGGTTGAAACAGATTGCAAATGAACAACGAAAAAGAGAATATCGTGATAAGATTGAAAAAATGAGAGAAGTAAAAAGAAAACTTGCTGAATATAAAAAACAGTGGAATAAACAAAGGGATGATCTTGAATGTGAAGATCTCAAGGTGCTTCAAATAAGTTCGGTTGTGAACCTCCCAAATTTTTGTAATTATTGGGAGATACATTTTTTGAAATAAGTATGCCTCCTCCACCATCCTCCAAAATAAATATAGAATCTTATCATATGCAAATACAGAAAATTGTATACAGTATATTTAATGAATAGAAAAAAAAATCAATTTTATGATTAGCCCAATAAACTGTTTTCAAAGACAAATGATATCTAAATATAATCACATTTATGGGTTTGCATGTATTTAATTATAATGAATTAATACTGATTTTTTTATGAAATAATAGATGTATGGTATATTTCCTGCAGCAGAAACACATGTCCTGTAATTAAACTGATAATGTTCATTACTGTCTATGAATTACCTTTATTAACATTGAGAGGGTACATACTTCCCAAAATCTCATTGAATGATAACAAAATAATTTTTTTATTTTTATGCGAATTTTATCAATGAACTCAATATAGAGGTTATTGCTTATATAGCTTATTTTCCATAGTATTTGCATAATGTTTTTACCTTTGTTCAAACTATCATGCTCGATTAAGTGTGAATCGATGAAATCTAGATATCTTCTATCTTCATATCATTGAAAAAATAAACATGTTAATCATAGAGTAACTTGAAACCATTTTCAGCAAAGTCTGAAATGTTTCCGTAGTCGTGTAGGAAATGCAACCTTTGTTAACCTGAAATTGAAAGCAGAGTGACGTACATTCTGAAACATGTTTGACTCAAAACTGGCCAACCGCCAACGCACAAATGTTGATGTCTGATACTTGTGGCGTGACTAGGTTTCTTATAGTTCAATTTTTGTCCATTCGTTAAAATCATAAAATGAACTGACAAAATAAATAAAAATTAGTTACATGGAATTAACTTGATAGATTATTGATATCTTCATTCTTGCAGGAATTACCTTTACCTCATAAGATTGTAACTCAAATTCCTCATCATTTGTTGGGAGATGTTCTCAGTCTTCTGGAGTTCTTCCATACTTTTGAATCCCTTTTCGATGCGAAGGATGAGTTTCCAAAAGGAGTTTCAGTCAGTGAGTCAAATTTTATGGTAAAATTCCACCAGTTACTGTAAAATAAAAATAACATAATTTCTTTCCACTAAATATCATGTATATTTATGAGCTTTCGTTAGATCAGTGGTTCCCAACATTAGTGTGCCCCAAAAAGATTTTGGTGTGCCGCGAAGAGATTTCATTTTGGAATTCATTTCAAATGATTCCAATCCCTTAAATTCCAGGAGAGTTACCCCACGGCTCTTGCTAACAAACAGAAACCACAAATTTGAGAAGTCGTATTTCAGGTATTTGGGTATTGTTTTAATTCTAAGTTTTGCATAATGCGCGCCAACACCGTTACGTAAAATTGAAAATGTCAAACAAGGTAACAAATTATTGTGTGAAATTTTTCGTAAATTTGCCCAAGGAATTATTATTTGATCAGTAGAATTGCCATTATTGCCGATTTATTGAATTATTATTTAAACTCAAAATAACATTCAGGATTCACGCAATGACTTTGCAGGGTTTTTATTCACCAGGCTATGTAATACGAAAATAAAACAGACACAATAGGAATGTAAAATCATAAGAAGGTCAACTATCTTCTTCATAAATATCCGCATTCGACGTCAGAAATGATAATATTGTTGGCTTAAAATTGGGACAGTTAATTTACCATCGGTGAGAAGAAAGATCAAAACGGCGTAAAAGATAAAAATCAGAATAAAATCCTGAATTCACTCTTTAATAGCTGTTTAACATATGTCGCACATATGAACGCTTAGTTCTCCCAGGAATATAAAACCAAACGTTGAGTAGGAAGAAGTCCTTGTAAAAAAAGAGGGGACGGGCCGGAAAAGCTCACCAACATAAAAATACCTAGCATTCTGGATGCCAGTTATATGTGTATTAAAAATACCCGATATTCGACAATTCGTTAAAAATATTCTAATTATTTTATTCGATGAAAATATTCTATTTTGCCCACCCTTGCGATCGGTAATCATGCCAGTAATCTGGCGAAATGCTTGGTAGAATAAACACTAATGCAATGAAATTTAATAATAAAACCTTGATTAAATTTATTAAATTGCACTATTTCACGAAAGCGTGATGGAATTGACGATTATTTCATATCTCGAACACAGAAACGGTTATTTTTCGGATAGTTTCTGCCGTCTGAAAATTCGAATAAGTGTTTCAACATAGTAAATGCTACAATCGTTGCCATCAAATTATGCTTGGGCCTTGCACGAAATTCATAACGTGAAAAGATTCGTCCATCGGTGAAAATAGTTTATAACAACTTTAAACCTATTTAGTGTTTTTAGCGATAATAATTAATTGTTGAATAATGAAATTGGTTTGTTTGCCTCTTTCATATCTCTCACAAGTGCCGACAATAACACTATTGAATTCTTTTGGCAATGGGAGAAACATTGAATTGTAACAAAATAGGTTGTACAAGAGTGAGAATACCTGTGATAATAATAAGGCGTAACGTGGAACGGGGAAGGTCGAGAAAAACCAAATCGTATTAAGTCACCCGTGCGGCCGCGCATCTTTTACGATACTGTGAGATGCTCCGAAGGTGGGTCTCGTGTACATTATTGTAAAAAACAGTTATAATATCGGTAACTATTAACCATCCATTTTAAATACAGGGTATGTTGTATTAACAAGAATAGAATTTCCCTCATCTGATCTTCTATGTTTTTTATTATTCTATAGCTTAATGGCTTCATGAGTAGGGAATGTTTCTATTAATGGCTTCATGAGTAGGGAATGTTTCTATTTTGTGATAGGTGTGCCGCGAATACTTAAATAGCTCAATAGTGTGCCGCGACATAAAAAAGGTTGGGAACCGCTGCGTTAGATCATAGTCTAACTTCTTCAGATAAAACAAGATATGGCGTAATCTAACGAAAGCTCATAAATATGCTTGATATTTCGTGGAAAGAGATTATGTTATTTTCATTTATCTTTATAATACTATCTTAGTCATGCATCCTTGTGGCAACAGCCGCATATGGATCCGGAATAGAAAGTAAACAAGGAGAAAGGACCTGCAGTTCAATACACAATACCCTAGTTACTGTAACATAATATTTCCAAATTCCTTGAAATAATTTTGAATATCCAGTACATGTACCGCAGAGCAATTAGTACAAATCATAATATTTACAAAGTGTTTGAATCCGATATTGTTTTGTTTGATTTTCAAAAGCTTCATTAAAAGTGGAATTAAATGCCCTTTTTTGTCTGTCGAATGCTACAGAAATTTTTTCAAATAAAAATATTCTAAATCCTTATTTTTCAAAATGTGTATACGTATAACGTATAGTCCTATTTTAAATGTATTCGGATATTTAATATGGGCTAAATATAATCTGTGTTATCAATGATCATGGTATTTACGGTATATTATTTTATTGGCTCGGTACTTGATATTCTGACTGTGTCATTGGTGTCAACTTCTTATCCTCCGGTGTTATTTGTGGTGAAATACTTGGTATCAGGATGTGTTGCTACTAAGTCATTTACTTCTATTTATGTTATATCTTATATTTTGACATTTCTGTATTATGAAAAACATATTCTCACCAATTCTAAAGTATTAAAAGTTTGATGAATATTTGTGGCCTTGTGATGAATATCTTTTCATCTTATATTTCGAAACATTTCATTGTTTAAATCAGTGATTCCCAAAGTGGGCGATATCGCCCCCCGGTGGGCGAAAACGATACAAAGGGGGGCGAAAAAGTCGAAGGGGGCGATTTCGAGAAACCTATTTTTGTTCGGCGCATCGTGCACTTGATTACTGTATACTGCGTGCTTTCGTAGGTTTGAATTACGTGGGCGATTATCAAACGCGAAATGATTGCGTATCCAAGGGGTCAGCAAAATACGGCCGGAGTAAAATAATCTGGCCAGGACGCTTCACTGAATGGAGCTTTCCCGACCTTTGACCCCGGAAAATTCTTCCTATACTTTACTATTTTAAAATTTTAGGTGCTTAGTTTAGGAGCGGTTTCGCGAGTTGTTGCCTGTAAAATGGGGTATTTGTTTTAAACTATTATTCTAATTCATGCCATTCAACAATCTGTTTTTTAAAAATACCGAAATTTATTTAAATTTCCGAAAAACAACTAAAAACTAACGAATATAATTCAAAAACGCAAAAATGAGGTAATGTTCACGACCACGCCTGAAAATCTGTCTGAGTGAGAAATGTGTCTGGGCGTTTATTTTTTCATCTTGCGGACAATAATTTTCCAAAATGAACATTACAGAGAAAAAGCAAAGAACTAGTATTAGTGATGCCCATTTAGAAAATGTTCCAATCTTGGCGTCGTAAAGCTATCAAGCGTGATGCAACAAAATGACAATGTCACATTTAATGTCATTGTAATAATTTTTTAATAAGACGACTGATTTGAGTTCACGATTTGTCGCAGTTTTCGCACGATGTTCCGTTTTTAACTTTCAAAAATTATATATATGACCCGCAAAAGACTAGCAAACCTAAATTTTGTCCCGCGAGCGACATAAAATTTGCCGGCCCCTGGGCCGTAGCCGATAGTCTGTCACGGCTTTTTCCACATCCGAGTGCACGAATCCAAAACAAATGGCCGATAATTAATTATCTGGACTAGTGATCGGACTGGAGGCCGTGGTAGGACCAGGAATCGGGGATGTATTTTACCGAAGACCGTGATATATCATGTATTTTGGTGCAGGCTGTAGGAATGAATGAGATGTACGAAAATTATTATTATAGGTTTGGGGAAATTACCTTTGTTTTCATTATTTTAATGTGAAATGGGGTGAATTTAGGGAGTTAAATGCTAAATGCAAGGGTACACCGCGGTTGTTGAGGTAGAACCCTGGATTTTTTCATTTCCGACCTCTTATATGGTGAAAAGGGGGCCGAGCCGTGCTACTATTTCTATCAAAACAACGAAATCGCCTTTCCATCAGTAAACGGGGTAATTTTAGATATAATAAAAAAAAACTCGCTGAAGAACACCAAGTTCATTCATCTCATTAAAAAACACTATGAACTATGATTTGTCTTTTTATTTGGTCTGTAATATATTTGTTTCTGACTTTACATTTTTTTTGTAGTGCCGGGGGGCGATGAAGTAGTATAAACTACTTTAGGGGGGCGAAGGTACAAAAAGTTTGGGAACCACTGGTTTAAATAATAGATAATGCTTTTGATTATTTCACGTATTCATTGGAACTTGGTTAATCACATGTTGATCTTGTAACTTGTTTTGTTGAAAACAGTTGACTCATGGTAGTGGTTTAGGATATTGTGTTTATTTGAAAGTTTGAGTGTGGTTGGTGTTGTATATGTATAAAAATGTTCTCTTTTCCATTTCCAGGTTTACTTGAAAAAGCTTTAATGAAAGAAGATCAAGACGGACCATTATGTGATTTCCTATTTTTCTTTTTATCAAATTTATTCAGGACTCGAACAGAAGAGGAAGGAGAAACTTTATACACATTAGAAGCTGAAGATAAAGGTATATTGTTTCTTGATTCTAAGTCATGTGTTTTTACTTGAAGAAAAGTAGAGTTCTGTCACTGGGCCTAAAAGGTACATAATATATGTATTGTTGAGAGATATCAAAAGTCCGATTAATTAAGGATACACTAAACCAACCCAATTCATTTCACATTAGTCACATTAGAGACAGTTAATGTGAATGGACCAATTATTTTCACTTCACTAGCAAAAACCGAATTTGCAATTCCATCATTAATGCGCCAATATACTTATTTGTTTATGCACGAAAATAATCATTCTGTATGACAGTCAAAAAATGGAATTCAAATTCTCTAATTTTGTGAGGTTTTATTGCGTATCAATGACACTTGTTGTTTTCCTTGACGTTTAATCGGCTTTGTGAAGTGGTTTCTGAAACCTCAATGTTTATATGTTTACGATGAAATCTTATAAGCAAAGTGCGTGCAGCGTACTTATATCGTCACAGTATATTCTTGGATATTATCTAATTTTTTAATGATTCTTTTTTAAATTCTCTAGTCTAGCATTAGCAATATCGTTCAATAGTAGTGCAATGACATTAGGTTTCGATAATATATAGGCTACTTGGCATGAATGAAAATTGGAAAAACAATCAGAGCTGAATATTTTATGCTTGCGGGCTGAATAAATACAGTTAATTACTTTATAATAAAAATACGAACAATAATTTCAATGTTGAATGAATGAATTGAATACTTAATAAAACTTGGGTAAAATTTAGGTGTTCAAAGCTGATAGATGTGTGTTCGGGTGGCACCAGAGCATGCATATGTTTTGTGGCCTTGTGGGAAGCAATGGTTTTAACTTTTAGTATGGATTTGTCAATGATTAAGGGGTTGGTTAAAAAATGAAGCAAATGATTGTTTTCAAGTGACTGATACTTTAAAAAAAAACGTCAATATTGTGATGTGATCAGGGCCAAACATCTTTGGTTTTATGATCGGCTGTTGTCTACTTTATATATAAAATATCACAAATACTCTTTCTTATCAGCTAGCCCATTCATTTCTAATAGATATTGAAATAGATTATTCATATTTCTTTTGCCAACCTCAAGGAGCAAATAATTTTTCGGTCCTTTCCTTCATAGTGCAATTAATAAAATTAAATTTGTTTGAGCTTTATCAAAGTTAATGTATGTTGTTCCTCACCACCTAGCCACTGTTTTTGATATTGACAAACGATTTCTTGTTCATTTTATGTGAAAATTTGAGACACGTTGCATTGTCAATACTGCTGATGCATTCCCCAGAAAGGCCTCCTTTTTTTAAATGCTTTCATTGAAACTTCATATTCCTTACAATTTCCAATCAATTCAAATTCAGAGTTAGCTGCCAAAGTGAAAGAGGATCCAAGTATGGACAATTTGGTGGCAGCAGCAACAGTTATTGCAACATGGCCCATAAATTATCAGGGATGTTCCATCAATGATCTTGAGTTGGACAGCTATACTGTGTCTGAGGTAAGGCACATGTTAGACATGCTATCATTCAAAAAGTATTGTTATTATAATCTTTTTTTAAAAGTCTGTAGTCAAGTGTAAAACTACCATACTTATTCATATTTTTTGTCTTTAGTATTCTACTGTTAATAATCTATTTTTCTATGAATTTTTCAGATTCTTCGTCTATACCTTCTCACAACTGCTGCTCGTCCACCTTCTGATAGTAGATTATGGAGATTTCAACAAAGAGGGGGATATTGTGTTGCTGATGATACTGCTTTAAGATTTTGTCTCAATCGGCCAGAACTTGTTGAAAAATTATCAAACACAAGCATTTTCAATTTCACTCCAGGCAAGAGATTACTTCTTATACAGATTTGTTGGCCCTCTGTCAGAAGCTGACTGATATATTATCTTTGTTGACGTTGTTGTAATATCTGCAATAAACAGTGTCTTGCTAGTGCTGTGCTATTTTTCTTGGAAATATTTATAGGGTGTGTAAAAGTGTCATTGATGAGAATGAATTTTCACTGAATAGTCTTTGATGTTGGGATTTTTGCTCAAACATCATCACTCCAGTTGTGCTTGAGGTCGGGTAGTCATCATCCAAGCAAGGCAATTTAATCTCTAAATGATGAATTTTTGGTAGGATGTCCATGTGTAAAATTTGTGCTTCTGCTTTTTAAAGTAATATTAGTCATGGAATAATTTATGTTTAGGAAAAGAAGGCAATTGTCTGGCGTTTTCGTATTGCAGTGTTCTCAAAGTTTTAATTTGAATACTTCCTTTCCTATTCTGTTGCCCTTAGCACACAAAAAAAAAAGATTTGGCCGCAGGTTACCTCAGTCCCAGTTGATTCATTTGATTGTTCTATCAATATGGGATAATATAATTTTGGATCATCACATAAATCAATATAACTTGGAAAATTATGGGAATAATTTTGTTCCATATTTTAATTTTCAGATGAAAAGCTTGAAATATTGATGTGTCTTTCCAATCAGCTTATATCATACGTTACTCCAAGAGATTTTCTTGATGAACTGTCAGAAAAATATTTTGCTGCATTGCAAGATTATAGAGAAGATAGAAGAAGTGAGAAGAAAAGAGAAAAAGACTCTATGCTCGATAGGTATTGTTACAAACACACATTAAAATTCTTTTTTTTAAAAGCAACGTCACACTAGCTTTCAATTTAAAAGGTAAACGAATTTAGAGCTGTGATAAATCAATAGATGTCTAAAGCCCTAAGGTTAGATTCTTGCTCAGATTCATATCAAATAGTTGGATAAAACTGAGTCAATACAGTTAGTGGGTGAGTTTTTAAGTTTCTGGTTGTTTGAAATGTATGATTGTGACTGTGTGACAACTTTCATGGAGACGATCATTTACAGTTCTTACAATAAAATCTGAACAATCGCATTCTTCAGATTGCAAAGCAGCCCCACCTCTGGGTTCCATATGGAATGATGCAAATTGCCCTTGTTCCATACTATGGGGATAAAACTAGTTCTGGATCTAGAATATAGATATTAGTACAAAATTGGCTTATGATTCAATGCATTCATGTTGTAGACCCAAAAATTGTTACTTGTATCATCAGTGTAAATATGATAAATCATTTTTAATTTCTTTCAGACTAAAGTGGAAGAATGCTCAAGAAATTCAAAATCGTGAAATGAAATTGAAACAAATGATGACGAAACTGGATGAGAATAAGTAAGTTAATTTGGGAAATCGCACATTATTAGATTGGTGTTTTAGGCATAGAAATCAGTCATGTGGTCCAGCAGGGATGGCCAATAACTTATAATTTACTATTTCGAATAAGTTTGAAATAACTTTTCAAATATCAATATATTCTAAAATAAAATGATAGATAAAAGTGATAGAATCCCTTTTTACTGTATGAGGGAATTTACATGCTATGAACAATGGAATATCTGTTTTGATTGCAAGCAAGACCCAAGTCAGTAAATTGTCATTTAAAGAAAAACATAAATTCTGTTTTAGGAGCACTGCAACAAATAAAAATTTTGCGAGCACAATTTTGTGGCACATATTATGCTATGTGGAAAGATTTGGAAATATATTTAATGGTATATGAAGTTAAACAGTTAATCGTGCTCGCGATATACATTCTTATCTATTCTTTTAATGCCATTGGGCCGCACCCGACTTTTTTCCTGGCTTTGATGGATATATGCTGAATTGCTAACCAATGTTAAGTATATTCAATCAATTTATTATTGTGATAAAATAAAATATTAATCCTTGGAATTTTATTGCTGATCTTGGTATTTTCTAACTGCAATAATGTCCTTGCAAGGTCGCAAAAAATGAATCAAAATTAAATATAACCAGCGAGTTACCATACATTTTATGTCCGCAGATTGCAGTGGTATTTTAGAGAAGGTTTTTTTTTTTTTAGTAAGTCGACGACGCAACCGTGAGTAGCGTTGAACAAAATTAATAAAGCAATTGGCAAAGCATTTTAAATGCTGGTATGGCTTGGATATTTTGCGCAACAGAAAATCATCCTATGGAAAATTCAATCCTTTCAACTATTATTATCAAAATTGTTTGCCAAAATGCATGAAAAAGTATAAAATATTTTTTCCTAACTTTCCGAATAAATTAACTTTTTTTTCCAACAATTTATTGGATATTGTACCAAAGCTTAACTTGAACACAACATATTTAATATCTCACCTTGATGGGATCTATGCGAAGTGCATGATCAATAGTGTGACACAGGAAAAGCTTTTTAAAAGTGATTGCATTTGGTTATTATTCACCGCTTTACATAGTTCTGAATTTTCCGATGTAACTGGAAATGAAAGCATAAATGAATTAAATGGAAGCCTGGCGAGGAAATGGTGGCAATGTCCACTACACAATGACACAACAGAAATGCAAAAATGTCGCAACAATAAGTGCCAATCGTTGCCCAGAAAAAAAAGAGTCAAAGCTTCGATTCTATTTCGTAATACGGACCCATGATGAAGCGCAGACAATCTCTCTCGAAAACGAAACACATTACTGCGATCGGTGAAATGTGGCTATTATTCCGAATTATTCTAAAGTTAGCTAAAAAAGGAATTCGAATACTTTGATATCCGAATATTCGATTCATTTTTTACAACCCTGATTGTAGTGTATTTGTTTTTCGAATATTTTAATACTTTTTATAAAAAAAATGTATTCAGGTAAATTGTGTATATGTTTTTAGTTAAGTCAGTATTCTTGTCCGTACTATTTATTAAAATTTATTTGTTTTTCGTAGCCCTAACGAAGGCAACATTTCCAAAGTAAATAAACATCCTCAAAAGTTGGACGAAGAATCAGAGGAACAGCCCAAACTCATGTCATTAAAGGAACAAATGGTAACTTCTTTATGTCCTGTTTGTTCTGTTTAAAACAATTATAGTTTTTTTATAGATGTATTTATAGTTTAGATCGGGGGTGGCCATCTAGAGCTCGGCCAACCGATATATCGGGCGGCCAAAAACCGCCGATATATATCGGCCATACTCGACAAGCGCCGGGCTGCGTGCTGCAAGGGCTCTCGCTCCCCCTGCGTAACTGGTTTCCCAATATTTCTCTCGCTTTCATTTTGCGTTATAAAGGTGTCTCTCCTAATTCTCTGTGTCTTATGATTAGCCATTTCATGCATGGTCATAACTGAAAAGTTATTATCTGGAGTAACAATGACGTTATTTAAAGTGAGTTTTTGAGAGAGTACACAACGAGACAAAGGCAAATTTAGTAACAGCATTAAACGGTGGTTCTATAAATAGAATCGATTGGAAGCTGGTGAGTTAGTGATCATAGAAACATGGTACAGTTAGCTCAAAGCAATAATGTCAGATCCGAATTTGTGACCTCCCCAAATTCAATTTTCAATTTCTGGGGTAACAGTTTTGTTTATATTGATGGTTGTTTATCATTTTGCTGAAAATTACAAAATAAAAACTTAATCCATTATCATTGACTAAATAAGGTATTGAGAGTCTTTGGAAACAAAGTTATTAAAAATTTCACATAATATGCTATCACAATATCGAAGGATCATTATCACGATTCACTTTAAAATATATCAATTAATAATTTTTTAATACCCTTAACATATGTCCATAGGTATATTTAAAAACGTCTGATTAACAATTCTTTTTCCTGGCAATAGCTAGACTGATATTGAAGTATCAGGAAAAGTTACAGAATAACATTTGTTCGAGCATTAACTGAAGTTGGTTAAATAAAAGTCTTACTGCCATGATAACAAATATCAAAATGAACTACAGACTTGCAAGGTGCATCATAAAAGCGTGGCTCAAAATATGATTTATAATAATATCGGCATTGCGATATCGGTTATCGGCCACCAGTTAGCCGATATATCGGTATCTGCGTCAAAAAGCGATATTGGTCGAGCTCTAGCCATGACTGCCAGACAGGTAGGCCATGTAAGTGTGACGTAAAAAGTTACATCTAATGAGCAGAATTTTATTCAAAGTGCTTTAAAAGAGCAAAAGTAGAAAACAATAAGTCTCGTGCAAACTCAACAAATTCCTTGAACTATTTTCTAGCTAAAACAAACAAAATATGGTTTTAGTTTGGTTGTGGCAATTGTCAAAACAGATTTGAGATGGGACACTGTATATTTGTGGAAATTCATCAGACTCAAGATCTGTTCACAAATGTATATGGAGCCAAATAATACCAACATTCTCTGGCTATTTTCGAAACATGTCATCAGTCGGAGAAGCGTAAAAGCCATTCAGCTTCAAGCATTTGAATTTGTCTATTAATAAAACATATTCATGTGGAATATCAATCAATTTTTATTGTAGCCCTTGTGGGTAGTGTTGCAGTGACTTGTTAAAAATGAGACAAATGAATTTGAAACGATTCTTGAAGCTTTACAAAATTTCCAAATGTTTGGCTAAATTCTTTATGAAGATCATTCAGTAATTTGGTGTATTTCATAGCATGCTCCTTTCATAGCATGCTAATTACTAGCATTGGGAAATGCGCAAACAACTGCTAGATAGTTGTTCTGAGAATAAATTCAATTTCGATTTGAAAGCCTTAACATTGGTGTACATCTCATGAGCAGAAAAAGCAGCTTGGTTGACCTATCTTTGGCTTTGTCTGTAGAAACATTTTGTCTGCAGGAACACCTACGAATGTTAGATGAAGATGAACAAGTGGCAAAAGAAGCTTGGGAATTTCGACAAACTAAGCACCTCAATGATATTGCACAACATCAGAAATTCAAAGTTTTATGTCTTGGAGAGGACAGGTGAACATTCACTTTGAACAAAGCAAAGCTGCATACACTCATTCAAAAATGATGAAAACTCTTCCAGAAAGTTTTTATTCTGTTCAGTAATAAATGAACGGAAACTATTCCTTGCGTTTTGTAAAATATTTCATATACATATATTTAGAATGAACTTTTACTGCGCTAGTTCAGATCTATCAAGCTGAGGGCATTTCTGTGTATTAGTATTATTTATATTTAACTTGAATGTATTTTTGCATTCATCATTATTCTAATTCCGTAATAAATAATTTAAAATGCTTTGTGAACACTGAACTGTTCTTGAATATTAGGTTTTTTCGCCGCTACTGGACTCTGAACTGTATTTCTGGTATCTTGGTTGAAGAGTATGAGGATGAATATTTAACAAAGGATTTATTAAGAGTCAAAGTACCTCAACGAGACACAGCTCATCAATCATTTACACCAACACAAGTACAAAACAATTCGACTGCTACAGATGTTTCTATGTCGAAAAATAGTGAAAATGCCACAGACACTCAAAACAACAGCAATGGTCCGGTACCAGATCATGTTGTGGCCCATATTAACCTTGAGTCTTCTCTGTTGACCAATCCCGTGACTAATACTACAATAAATAGTTCTACCTCAACTTCTGTTCTAACCAGTACAGATACTTCCACCAGTAATAATCCTTCAAAAGAATTATCAGATGCTGGAACACAAGGTCACAATTACAGGTAATGTTGATATTTTGATTTCTTGTTGATTTCCATTTTACTTATGGATCTTCAGCTTTTTCACATTTCGACATTTGGAGTACAACAAATGAACTTGATACAAATCAAACCAGGAAACCCTGTACAAAGCATTTCCTTATCTCATCCAAGCATAAATGTTGCGTTTCAGCATTTATTCTTATAAGTTCAATTTTGATAAACACTTATATCTCACTCATTTTACTATATCTCACTCATTTTACAATTACTTGTTTTGTCGGTGTAGAAAGAAGTGACCCCCCAATCAATCTCTCATGAATTGTTCATTTTGAATTATCTCTCAAAAATCTCACTTATTTTTTATGTACAAGATCTTGTTTGTCAAAATATACAATTGAGTCTCACCTGTCTTAGGCCAGTTTTAAAATGCCATTCCATATACACTTTGACCTTATTTAGTTCCCATTACAGTCTACAACTATTCCATCATTTCAGATGGTACATTTATACTGAAAAAGAGAAGATAGAACAATTACTGGCATCATTAAATAAACGAGGTTTCAGGGAATCAAAGCTGCATGATGCAATAAATCGTATTAAAGATAAAATCTTCTCTAATTTGGATAAATGTCCAATTAATGAGCTTTGTAAATCTTCAAAAAACTCTGATGTAAGTTTAGCAATTATTGTTCTTATTTACACATAGGCATCTCTGTACACTACAATGTAAGCAGCAATGAACTCACAACTCACTTACAATATCAACACATCATTTCAGAATTAAATTTATGTTTCGTACATTGAAAAATATCTAATAATAGCGCCTGAATTCAGTTTCATATAAAGCAAATTTAGCAGTTTTTTTGCAGTTTCAAACTTGCAATGTGCCAATTCGTTTTTGCCGGCCCTACTTTTGAACTATAGCTCGGCTGTATTTGAATTACATGTAACAGCCCTATCGTTTCTTTTGGATTGAGCGAGTGAGCAGTTTTCATATTGTACTCAATATATTGGTAAACCAAAGCCAAAAGTAACTAAAGGCGTAAAGCAACCTGGAGATCAATCTTAACGTCAATTATTTGTCGGAACTAAGCAATGCAACATTTTGAATTTGAGTTCGATTTATTATCAGCCCCATAATTGACATTTTTTTAATCGGCTTTGTGCGATTAACTCTTGTTTTTTGAATTGCATGAGCAGCAAAATTGGTTTAAGATGATCGTCCTCGGATTTAATACAAGAGTTTGTACAGGAATCCTCATACGAAAGGCTTCTGATTAGTGATTATATGTAAATATTTTGATGCTGAAGACATAAGAATTTTCTTAAAAAATGCCTTTTCAGGTAAACATAGAGTCTGAGTTTGCAAAAACTGCAATTGAGCTTTCACTAAGAGATCAACTACTTGATCTGGAATCAAGAATATTTGAAGGAACATTAGGAGGGATAAAGGTATGCTGTTTATATTGTATTAGGATGTTTCTCCTCTTCTTACTGGTCTGTCTCCAACAAAGTGTGAATATAGTTTATTAGAAAATCAAATTTAGTATCTAATCTTGAGGGGTGTTTCCGCAAATTTTACATATATATGTTGTAATATTCAGGAAGAAGATGGGTTTCAGTGGGTTGAAAGGGTGACTCACAGAGGAACATACAATGAAGAGTTGCGAAATTCACTAATAAACACAGTGGATACCATCTATGGTATGTTATGTATAATTTCTTAGATTGCATATTAAATACTCTAAGAGTATTCCCAAAGCCACTTTTAAATCTCCAAATATAGCCAAGTTTTTATTTATCTCAGAAACCCAATGAAATGAAGACAACATTACACTCTTGTTCTGGCCAAACTCTTCCAGGTTTATAAAAATTCAAAGACCTTAGCAGCAATTGATATTTGAACAGCCTTAATATTGAATACATTCAGGATACCATTTATTTACCTATCATGTCAGGTGTCAGTTTGATTTATAATTTTATAGACAAACACAAAATCAAAATCGAACATGAAGAAGGACAACAGCAGAATAGTAATAATAAAAATGAAGTGATTTGTTGTCCCCACGTGGAATTTTCTATCAAAGCTGGCATTAAAAAAGATGATTCTGTCATTGAATACGAGAATGATGACGAACAAATGCAGGTTTCTGACGGTGAGCATTTTTTATTTTGAATAATTTCTAGTTCGAATTGTTTTTCACTGAGAATAAGTTGTTTCATAACTGAATAATTTAAAATAAGAAAGTTAAATAATGATAAACTATTTTTTTCTGAATAACATTTTCATGACAGTTGAACGAGTGTTAAGATGTTTGGTTTACTATAAATTAAGAAGATTTGCTACTGATTTTTAGTACTGATCATTATTCTAGTTTTTTTCCATTTACATTAAAGCATTACTGTTGTGTATGGCGTACTGTACACTTAACAAGATCTTGCCTTGCAGATAGAACTAAACACCAATCACACAGAGGAAAAATCCAAGATTTGTCCCTTGCACTACTACAGATTGAACGAGGAATTGACAGGAAATATTTGAAACCTCCATTAGGTATAAACCATTCGATTGTCTAGTTATTGCAAGTTTGAATTCTATAAAATAACAATCTTACAGAGGGCTTACAGACGGGCGCAGCCAAGGGGGGGGGGGGGTACATGGGTCGTAACACCCCCCCCCCCCCCCCTTTGGAATCATTTTTTTTTAATAGTGTTACGTTTACTTACAATAATTTTATTCTTTGCGTTATCACTTTCGCGCTACGTCCAACTTTATTAATCATGTTTACGATTCGTTATCGCTGTTACGCGGCAGTGGAGCTAGCTGCCAGCGGGGGGTTACGGAAGTCACAATCTTCACTATACATTTTTAAATACGATTGTATTACCTTTCACTTGACACAAAAAGCAACGGACATATCACACAATTACCGTCAAAACTTTCCACAAACGCGCTCTCGCATCGCCACATTCAACGCATCCATACTTTTAATCACATACGTTATCGCTAATTACGAATTTTAGTTTTTTGGCGACTTGATTATTTTTACGATTAATCGCGACAAATTGGTCATCGAATAGTGATTTACAAATCCTTCCGATTTTCACAAATGCTTCCAATTAAAAATTAGTCACCATTTTCTGCCCAGCCCAGATACTAATGTGACATACCAATAGTTAAGTGATTCTTTATTATCGATAATAAAAGAGATGCAAGTACTTTTACCCGAAATTTTGAATACAGACTTCAATTGGAATTTGAGTTGCCTCAGAACCAATGTACTGTAAGAGTACTGATATAGCGATGCATTGCCTACTGAGCTTACTATTGCAGTATCATTAATATTGAATATTTGAAACATTTTTTCAAGTGTTATAATGAACTGTAAGGCCCAAATGGTACTCCAGTTTTGTGTCAATATATTAAAATTTCAGTCATTCATTTTTTTGGATTCCAAACACTGTAAATACACCCATCAAAAATAACTTCTGTTGATTTTGAAGTGCTTCCTCTTTCGCACAATATGATCTATTTAAGAAATTATTTTATATATTACTATAGATACATGTATGACTAATGTATGTCATCACTATGTTCAAATATTATATTTTGTGTGAGTGCTGAGTTTCTGTATTGTTTAGAAACCATTTTCAAGTTATATATCTTGAAAGCAATTACAAGATATCAATTGATATTAATTTTACCCAAGTCTGCCAGGAATAACTGGGTTGAATCATGTCATTCTTCCTTTGTTGTGCTAGGTTACTCTGTTGACATTTCACGAAGAAAAACAAGATCCAAAGGACCAGCTGAGGATTCTGAAAAGGAACTGGACGAAAAAAAGAAAGAAAGTATCGAGATGTTAAAGAGATGGGAATCTTCTCTGATCAGTTCAACTTCTATATCACAGGTACAAATGGATTACTAACATTTGAAGCTTGGATTTTTATTTGCCCCAACACGCTTGCATATATCATTTTTCAAGCATGTTAATGCTTTACTAATATTTGTTTAAATTGTTTCAGGAACCATAAAATTTTCTTATCCTGTTAGTGAATATTTTACATCGACTCTTTTGACTGTAACTCATAGTAAACAATTTTATAATACAAATACTATTTTTTGTTTTAGATCTCACTACACTTGGCAACACTCAATAAATGCATCATATGGGCACGTTCTGTATTGAATGCATCATGTCGCATTTGTCACAGACGGGGTAATGCTGATAAGATGTTGTTATGTGATTCATGTGATCGGGGACATCATATGTACTGTTTAAAGCCTGCACTGAAGGTATGAATTTGATAACGTACATAATTGACTATTAGACTATTTATTGCATCAATGAGATGATTAGGCAGCTTCAGTTTGAATTTGTATTCAGTATGTTCAAAAAGGAGTCATATTTATTTTCAGAATGTTCCATCTGGGGATTGGTTTTGTCCGCAATGCAAACCAATACATTCCAACCGCCTGACTCCAAGAAAAGTTCGAACAACCAGTTACTCACAAGTAAGACACAAATACAGACATTTTTATTGATTGTGAATGAAATGTTTTTAAACCGAATTGTTAATTTTGTATCTCTTTGTTTTGTAGCAGGTAAGTTCTGAGGAAGAAGAAGATACAGAAGCTGAGGAAACAGAGGAAGAAGATGATGACGATGAGGAAAACGAGGAAGAAAATGAAGAAGAAGAAGAACAAGAGGAGAGGTACCATGTTGCAAATGTCGAGCAACCTGTAGGGAATTGAAATTTTCTATATTAACAACAACTTTTCTGATATGTATTGTGCGTTTATTCAGTTCACAAGATGAGGAAGACATGGACGAACCTAGTCCTCTGAAACAAGGAATCAAATGCAAATTTCCATCAAAAAATTCAAAAGTCACATCAAGAGGAAAAAAATCAAAAAACACTTCACCTGTTACAAATTCATCTAAAAGCAGGGGAAGGTCTTTTGGTCGAGGGTCAGAGAACTCAAAAACTTCTGCTGATATATCAAGACGAGGTCGTAGTGCAAGTGAACGACGTAAAGCCATGAAACGAAATGCTTCAAATGGTTAGTTGATATATCAATTGATGAGAACCACTCACTGATTGTCGTTCAGTCTCGTGTTTCTGAAATATCAGTAAATATATTTGCTTTATTTCATATCTGTTATACATTGTTCATGTTTTTAATATCAGAAGATGATGGTGATTTGGGTTCCTCAAACAGAAGACGATCCACTGGTGTATGGAAAGACTTGAACACTTGCCAGGAATTATTGAAGGAACTTATTCAACACAAAGATAGTTGGCCATTTTTGATGCCTGTCAGTAAGAAACAGGTGAGAGAGTTAATATATTTGCATCTATTACTTGAATTGTGATCAATTGTCTGGTCATAATAATGGCGGTAGTTGAAGTGCAAAGCTGTTTTGATTGATCATTGTTGATACTAATACAAAGGAGGTCGGATCTGTATGTTCGACTCGTGCCTTTTAGATACTCTATTTTGTCATAAATAATGTACAAGTTATTTGACATATCGTATTTGATAGTTCTAATGTATGTCTTTCTTATTTGCTGTTTATATTTTGTTTTATCTCATTGTAATATCCGAGATTTCTACAACGATTAATTTGATCAATCCAAAATCTTGACAATGCATTAATTTCTCAGGTTCCGGATTATTATGACATTATTCCAAATCCAATGGATTTTTCAACAATGCAGAATAAATTGAAGAGTGTGAAGTATCAAAGCCCAGGTAAGCTAAGTCATGAGTAATGCTTTTATTGAAATTACTGGGGCTGGGCAGAAAATGGTGACTAATTTTTAATTGGAAGCATTTGTGAAAATCGGAAGGATTTGTAAATCACTATTCGATGACCAATTTGTCGCGATTAATCGTAAAAATAATCAAGTCGCCAAAAAACGCTCGTTTTCTGCTTCCTGCGAACACGTGACAATACCATCCTACTGTTGAATGTGACTGTTGCATCACGATGCGTTTTCACTTTGAGGTGTGTATTTCCAATTTCTCTTGTTGGTGTTGATCTACGGCTTGGCGGTGTAATTGTAAATTGTATAGTTTCCTTTACCATCGTGGTAGAGATCATTTAAACTTTACCATCACAGATGTTTGAATGACGTAAACGTTATGAGCAGGTTGCGGGAGATACTTTTCAGAATAACGAGCATTCGAATAATATAATATCCATACTAGATAAATAAAATATTATTGCCGATTGTCAAGATCAAATAATCATACTATTAATCAAAAGGTCACTAATCGCCCACTTCTGTAAATTACTGGCTTACGACTCCCATATAAACACACTTTTTGACGTAATGAAGTGCGTCATGCTCATTTCAGCATTTGGCAAATAAATTTTTTTAATTATTCATCTATTCATATGCTTCATATTTTATGCAATAGTTATGTTAATTTCAGCGGAGTTTATCGTCGACGTAAAGCTGGTCTTTACCAATTGCCTGACCTACAACATGCCGCGATCTGTGCATGCCAAAGCTGCAGTTCAACTCGGCAACTTTTTTGAAAAGAAATTACGAGAAACTGGTCTTGACCAATACAAAAAAGAAATTCAGGAAAATCCACCAAACAAAAGAAGAAAATCTTAAATTTGATATAAATCATTTCATAAAAGACATGGTGAAAAGATGGTTAGCTGCAGCCAATGATACACATATGTATATTACAAGAGTAATCAATGACTCTGATTATCAGAATAAGAGATTTCGAAGAATGTGCCTTAATATTTGAAACTCTTATCATTATTGCTGATGTTATGTGCACTAGTTTTTTCCAAATCTTCAGAACTCTGGTTATGAATAGCTGTGATGTCCATGTAATGTTATAGTTGTATATTTTCAGCTTTTGAAAAAGGCAGTGAAGAATTGATGGAAATTCGGGCACGATTCTTAACACTAAACTATAATTGTATATTATCTGATGTCAAGTTGGTCAATTATGGGATATACTTTAAGTTTATTAATGAATAGTCACGCTTATGCTTCATCCTCAAGGTGATTTCATTTCTAGTTTGCATAACGGTTCAGTATACAGCGTTTATATTTGGATAAAACAGTTGGAAAAAGTTGTTATCAAGCAGTTACATATAAAACATATAAAAAAAAACGAAGTGAAATAAAATTTCCAAAACATACTTGTATTCATACTACCTAAATTTCAGGAAGACAAAGTAGTTTTTGCAATTGTAACTTCTAAATGTTTCTACATGACATGGAGCTTGACACATTTCTCTTGTATGCTTATGTAGAATCTAATAAGTCCATATTCATTCTGGCTATGTTCTTATTTATTTTTGTTCATTTTTATAAATAGTGATGAAATGTCTGTTTTGTATTTCATGATTTCGTGTTTCTGTGTTGAAATTTGGTATTTTCCATTACTTTATTTATGATTCATTTTTTGACAATTCTTCTGGCAATTTCTGTTTGAGCAATTTTACAATGCGAACAATATGTAGTTGGGATAACTGGTTATTTCTCGATTCCACATATTTACTGATTAATCATTGTGCCTTCTAGTAATGGGACATATATCATGGCTATGCTTATTCAAATATTCAGTCTTGTACAGCACATTCCGGTTCAGCTTGTTTTCTGCATATTTCTTCCTACATTCGGTCTATTAAATTTGTCAATGCCACCCAATTAGCTTCTCTTGTTGTTATATGTTGTAGGTGTTGCCTTGTGTTCAGATGGTTAGATAATCTGTTTTCAGGTGAATGCTAAATATAGTTACTATTTTCAACTTAAAAACGCTTCACACAAAGTAGCAGGCGGTTTGTTAACTGTTCAGCATTACAGATAGCACATATGAATTTAAACCAGAAATGTAAATCACTAAATCGAGTTTGGTGGCAATGTCCTGCACATGCGTGTGTACGCAGATTGTCACTCGGGAGTTGCAGTACGGTTGAGAGTGGTGATAGAATGTTCCATAGCATCAGATCCGGCGACTGTTCTGGTGTTACAAATGGGAAGCAGAAATGAGACTTGATACACAAAACGACAGTTTCGTTACTATATGAAACATATTAGCAAAAGATGAAATAGACGATATCAAGTAGTTTCAATTTTGGGTCTCAAAATGGCTATACTATGCCGCTAAATATAACGATATAAATAACATATCAAAATCAAGTATACATAAATATATATTATGAATTCAATTCTATTTGAGAAAACTTAAACAGGCTTTTATCGGTTTATGATTTATTCGTCTCACACTTAGGGGTGGGCAAAATCGAATATTTTAACGAATATTTTTTATACACAACAGGAGGTCTACAACGTCGGTCGATACTCCCTTTGGAAATTAATAAAGACATTGAAAAATCGGCTACAAAGCGTTTTTTTACTGGTTAATTTCGTCATAATCGCTGATTGTTTTTGTCACCGTGACCGTTTTTGCGGTATAAATCTATAATACCGCCCTTTCTGTTATTTGCAAGTATTAATTCTTTCAGGTCGGCGGACATCGACGTTTATATTTCGGGTTTACCCGTGCGTTCACGTCGGCAACAGCTGTTAAAACCATTAAGGATTGATGTAAAAACCCAAATTAATATTATTCTAATTTTTATCATTTGCGTTGGCTTTCATATTACTTATCAACGTTTGTAAATTTACCATCACAATATTAAGCGAACGGTGATATTATTATCGATACCGGGATGCAGATATTTATTAAGACAATACCGTAATTAACTTTGCTATGCTTTTCCATGGTGTCTATGTTACTTTGCAGATAAACCTCGCAGAGCTGCGATTGCGTCAATCCCGAATGTTGATTTAAAATAGTGACTAAATAATTCGGCAATAAAGGCATTTCTGCGTGGCCATATGACGAGATGACGTTAATAAACAGCGCTTATTGAATAATAATTTACATATGCGACCTAATGCTGAAAAAAAATTGCGCTTTTGTGCCTAATAGATGGCCAGGTGCTAATTATAACTAACTCTAACTCTTGCAAGTTCCGACGTTTTCTTTCAACAAACCGCGCGATCATTATAACTAATATCGTTACCGAGTAATTCACAATTTTATTTACGGAATTAGCGAATTCACTTTTACTTCTCTTGACAATTTTGATAATGTCACGCCCTATTTATTAGTGCAAAAATGGTCAAAATATAACGAAAGTAATCATTTCCGACGATACAACAATTCGTAAACGAGACAGTGCGCGTTGTTACATCGAAATTCACGATTGATTTTACGCCATACTCCTGTTCACGATTTCTACACTCCACACGCCATGCATGCCCGAGTGAAATGTTTACACTTTCAAACATTATTTGGTCAAGAATGAAAGGGATCACTAAAGAATTATTTGAAAGTACATTAAAAAAACTATGTCCTGCCATTTCTTTTCTGGTCATAGCTTGTTCGTGTTATTCTATGTATGGTTTTAATTTTCTTCGAAGACAAATTTATGTTTGGTTCATGCATGAAACGGCTAATCACGTGCCGCCAATCATACGGAGTTTAAAATCTGGAATATTTATTTTAAATACCTCATCTGATTTAACGTTTCTAAATTTAGGGAACGGTGTCGTTACCTCTTTGTGCAACATAGGGAATTGAAATGAACGATCGAAACGCGAAGAAAACAAATAACACCACAACGTAAAGACGATTTTTCAAATTTGACGCTTTTGTCTGTTAGCGAGCTTGTAGTTGAATTCTCGCGCAATTCACGATCGGTTCACCGACGTTCTGTGTCCAAGTGACGCGACGCAGATCACGTGGTACCCGATATTGGAATAGTAAAATGCCATTCGAATAATTTAATATTCGATTCGCTATTCGTTATTCGAATATTTTGCCCAGCCCTTGTCATGGCTTTATATTCTTGTCGATGAAGATGAACGAGTTTGGCAACCGCCATTCACTACCTTGACACAAAAAAGATTTACAATAAAAATCTAAAGTTCTATCTATATCTGAGTTAGATAGACTTCATTGATTGCTGTATTGGTAACAAGTAATGCTCTTGGATGTTTTCAACGTGCATGCAGTGAAACGTTTTCGAAGCGTTGTGAGATTTAAAAGTAGTAGTTGTGCTGTTGAAGGTAAAAACGAAACACACTTCTGTCTATGTTGTTTGAGGGCACTGGAATTGTCACAATCAGCACTGAATAGCCTACTTGAACAATGAACACCGATGGGTAATTTTGTTGGGCATTGTGCACAGGAGAAGTGAAGTTATGACTTCTGCAAGTGATAAGTCAAAGTAGTATTCAATTTTACTGCCAAACCTGTCATTCTCGACTCGAACTTTCTCAGGCGCTAAATCAGACTGGTAAAAGTTTTGTAGTGTCATTGTTTTCACTATGAACCATGGCCTCATTTCTAGCTTCGCGTCTACCTTGCATATGGCTGTTCCTACCCTCGGGTGACATGCCTCCAGGTTAAGACCTGCTCTATAAACTTCACAATATACATCTTAACGAGACAAAATGTTTTTTAAGATAAAGTATTTGAGCAAATAATTTCCCAGGATGACATGATGTATTCGGATATGATGGAATTTTTGTACGACTATGATTTATTTAAACTATTCGACATTGATATATATGTGGTGGGGTTGGGAAGTACATGGGAAAAAAATTAATAAATTAACCGATTAACCACAGCGTGGCGTTTGGCGTAATAAGTTAATTTTCTCACGTTCCAAAGCTTTCAAAGACATTTCGTGTGATCTTGTCTTGGTATTGCTCGAAATTATTAACGGATCTAGATAGTTTTATGGGCGCTCAGCCACAAGAGATATGTAGTGTATTACAGATATATATATGGAAGTATTTTAGAAAACCAATTACGTTATCGAATGTCATTTTTGTGACGAAAAATTCCGAATTCGATCTACAAATTCTACTGCAGAATTTTATAAAGAAAATAGCATCAACAGCAAGCAGTTCTGTATACGATAATGCGAGTGTTAATCATGGATCGTATTCAACACGCCCGGAAATATTTTTAATCGAAAACGTTCTTCACTACTTCACGAAAATGTAGATAGGCTAATATATTTCTTTTACAAAATGGGCACATATTCAATGGCACTGGATAGACTCTTTTGCAATAAAATCGTGGACAATATATTCTGAGCGAAAAATGATTATGAACGTTATCATTGTCAAATTTTATCTTTCTACCTAAGCATAAGTTAGTCAGCATAACATATTTTATATATATATATATATATATATATATATGCCATATGGTAATACGAAAAATACAAATTTTCGAATAGTAACGTATTATCAATTAGATGCACACTGTGTGTAAATGATTCAATTGCTTTTTCTATTGTTTTCTACCAAATCGCCAAAATACGAATGTATTCGAAAATAAAAATCCGATTATTACAAGCTTACCTGACTTTTTTTTTGACTCCGAGGATCTATGTTTATGAAAATTTCAATCGCATATTGACTATTTTATTTTGTTCATGAAAAATGATCAATTTCGCGTGAATTGAAATCGTGAATTGAAAAGTGCAACATCTTTACGATATGCGATACAATCTACAGTTTACATATCGTTTTGCATGGTATACACTAGAGACTCGTAGACTAGAGATTAATATGACACCATCGTGAGTTTAAAAAGGGGGAAAATACAGCGGTTCGCGATTGTTGAAATTTCTCTAATTAAACAATCGGTCGTTTAATTATAGTCCACAGCGTTTAACGAAAATTGGTATGTAAACAATACAATAACGTACGTCAACGATGTTTTCTTCGAAGAGATGCAGTAAGATTACAAGTACGGTCACAAGTGAAACAAAGAGCACGATATTATGCAGTCCTCTCGGCAAAACCGGAAACGATACGTCATCAACTTGGTCGATACGAGAAAGGCAATACATGGCGCGAATGCATTATCGCTGTTGCGAAACATAATGTGGCCTTTTTTGTGAAATGTTACATGCTATTAATATGAAAGTGTTAAATACATTATAATCCATATTTACACAATGCACATTCGCTACAACTGCTTGATTTTTATTATAAATGTATCATCCGTTCGGTTTTCAAACTTTCTAGAAATATGTCCGGCCCGCCAATGACTCCAACCCTTAATTTTGGCCCGCGAGCGACAAAAGGTTGCCGACCCAAGCTGTAGAGTAATCTGATGTTATAGGTTTTCTTTTTTAATGGTCAATAGAACATATATATTGTAAATTTTTTTTGAGAATCGTAAATAATACAGATACAGAGATATACTGTACAGTTTGAATTAGTCATTATTATTGTATTAGCTTGAGTGTTTTAAAAGTATAACAGCCCGAATGTTCAATACTTTTCGTGTTTGTTTGTTTATTTCTGGCCCAAGCATCGTTTGACCAGCTTTGTATTTTTTGTAATTTTTTTTTTGTGTGTGCTGGTGATATTTCTCATGTTTCAAATTTTTTTAAACGCATTGCTCTCTCTCCATAATTTTGTATGTATTATGGAGTTTTCAAAATAAACTATCTATCTAATTTTAGGGGGAACCGTTGTAACAAGACAAGGTGAGAGAAATGTGTATAGTTCTCAACCTTTTACTGATTGCGTACCACTTACGAGTTTTTTTACTCTGGCCGCGTACCACCAACAAAGCCCCCTTGTTGGGGTTGGAAACAATGGAACAAGAAACG